ATATACATATATATTAAGCTCTTTGATGCACATTATAAAAGACAGAATAGATGAACAATTTTATTTATAATTTTTCCTTTGTATTTTTATCGCTTTGTACTTGTATTTAACTTCATTAAAATCCCAATTCCTTGACGATATTATCCAAATCTAAGAATTAATGTTTATATTCATAATAGTTTTTGCCCGTGACTTCGTACGCGTTAGTTTGGTCAAAAGTAATATATACTAGTCAAAACAAAATAAGGGCCACTTGTTTATTTTGACGTTTGAAGCGATCTAATAAATTTTAAGCTATCGGTACCGGTTAAGTTTTTTTGTGGCGTTACATTAAGTGTTGACAAACATTATGAGAGTATATCAATTACTTAATTTTTGAAGTGGGTCGATTATGAATTTTTTTTCGAAGTCACTAAAAATTACTCTATTTGAAGTCGACTTTTTGAGTCATTTAAACTGTTGAGTTCTTAGTGAACTGCAGGAATTCTCTTTGTTAGTGCGTGATGACCATTTTTAAAGGACAATGCCGAGGATTCGAAGACATATAGACATACAGATCACAACTATGGCCATAACGCTGATTCAACAAGGCCATTCGCAGAGTTCTGTAGCTCTGCAGCTGGGTTTTTCACGGCGAGCGGTCCAGAATGCTTGGATTAGGTTTCAAGAGACTGGGAGAGTTACCAGAAGACCAGAACCAGGCAGGAGTCGAGCAACCACGGCACAGGTTGACCGCTACATACGGTTAACTGCGCGCAGAGAGCGAGTCGTCACCGCCCGTTTCTTACAAAACCGCTTGGGCCAAGCGACGGGCACTCACGTAAGTGACCAAATGATTAGGAATCGGTTGCATGAAGATCAACAGTTCTCTAGACGACGAGTAGTGCGAATTCCACTGACATCCGCACATCGTGCAAGGCGATTAACGTTCGCTAGGCAGCACCAGGCCAGGAACATCGATGACTGGAGCAAGGTATTGTTCACAGATGTATCCAAAGTGAAATTTTTTAGTGATAATCGTCGTATTAGAGTTTGGAGAAGAGAAGGAGAGCGATTTACGGATGCTTGCATCCACGAAAGTGACAGATTCGGGGGTCTCAACGTAATGGTGTGGGGCGGAATCTCACTATCAGGTCGAACCGAGCTCGTAATTCTCAACGACGGCACGGTAACGGCTCAACAGTAGATTGAGCAGGTCATTAGACCCCACGTGGTGTCATTTTCACAGAGAATTGGTGCAGGATTCCAATTAATGCATGACAATGCCCGCGCTCATACAGGTAGAGCTACTGCCGAAGGACTAGAAGAAGCTGGTGTACGGGTGCTGCCGTGGCCCGCCAATAGCCCGGACCTTAACTCTATTGAGCACATGTGGGATTTATTAAAAAAAAAGCGTTCGTGACACAAATCAACCGGTAACTAACTAACTACAGCTCATCAACGTGCTAAAGACAACCTGGGAACAAATCCCTCTGGAGACAATACGACACCTGGTGGAGAGTATGCCTTCGAGGCTTGAAGAATGTGTTCAAAAAAGGGGAGGACACACACGTTACTGAAAAAAATAAAAATTTCAACAAATGTTCAGTTTTTTTTAAATTAGACACTGTTTTCACATTGTGCATTTTAGCTTAAAAAGTCGATTTTTCCAAAAAAAGGAAAGGGATGTTAATTTTAGAGTAATAAAATAATATCTGCTGCTCTTTACATTAAAAATTGATTAAATAATTTAATCTAATCATTTTCATATCCCTAAATCCCATATTTCTTTTAATCCACTAAAAAAACATGGTGGCCCTTATTTTATTTTGACTAGTATATGTAGGTATAGCTGACCAGACGAACTCTATTCCGTCTTAGAGGCCATAAATAATCAGGTTTTTCCTGTTTCAATCAAACAGAATGATTGACATATTAGTTAGTTGTCAAATCTAATGTCAAAAAAAACGTTTGTATGGGAGATAGAAAAGAGCTGTTTTTAGGGTTTTCCCGGCAATTATTCCAATTTTTCTCACCTTTTAAACTTTCCCTGGACTTCCAGAAGTATTTCAAGACTAAAATTAGCCAAATCGGTTCAGCCGTTCTCGAGTTTTAGCGAGACTAAGGAACAGCAATCCATTTTTATATATATAGAAGATTAATATGTAAATTAGAGTTTAAGAAATATTTTTTTGATATACAGCATTCCATCTCAATAAATATGTTAATTGGGATATTTAAAATAAAATAGTTTATAAAACAGTCAGTTTTCTTTAGCGATTGTATGAGTGTCCTCACTCATAATGATACTTGAAAAAAAGTCAATTTATTGTTAGAATAAATTTAAATACTTTTAAGATAAAAAGAAATAACTTAATTTTATTTAGAATATTAGAATATAATTGCTCTAGTTTGTGTTGTAATGTTTTGTTCAGCCGAAGGCTACACGTCGTACTTAGTGGATACCGCGTTTCGTCTGTCCTCTAAGACTTACTTAATACATTCCAGCAAAGATTAATATCATTCTAGATCTGACTTTAAATACACTATATACTTTTCCTTACTCAGTTGTAATTCTTATACTACAGTAGCTTCGCCCGCGCAGCTTCGCCCGCGTGGTTTTCGGTTATATCGCGTTTCCAAGAGAACCTTTCAAAAGTCTGGGATGAAAACTATCCTATATTCTTTCTCAGAGTTACTTTCTCATTTATAATATTAGTAGTATATTATTCTATTAAGTGAGACAAAAAAACGTAATTATAAACTAAATTTTACCTACTGTCCCATCTACTACCCACCAGAACCTCATTTTCAAGGTCAAGTATTTAGTTATTAATTCTCGTTGACACAGTAACAAATTTATCTAATTCAAAAATAACATTATGGCTAATCGATAGTATTGTCAAGGAAAATTATCAGTAGAGTATTTGTAACGAATTTAATTTGTATTGATAATTTTTATTACCGTAATGTATAAGTCACCATGAAGTATTAGTATAGTTATTATTGAAAACTAAATGAAATAATATCTTGAACGCTGAATTGACATATCCGTCAAACGAAAATCACGCCACAGATAATAACTAATATAGTTGTGAAAACATAACTGGCAGTTGATAATTCGTTAGAAAAAAAATAAACATGCATGTAAATATGTGAATGTATGTGTGTGGGTTTATAAGTCTATGGGGGTTTGTGTGTGTGTATGTGTGTGTGTGTGTGTGTGTGTGTGTGTGTGTGTGCGAAAACAATTTTGATTTTAGAATCTCTTCGTCAGACGAATATTTCTCACTCAGATGCCATTAACCTCAGACGCCTCTGTTGAAAGTTATCTTAATTACATATTTAACGCCACAAATTTCTAGAACATAGTATATATATATATATTCATTTATATACAAATATATTTTAAATATTTAATATAGATAAGAAAATAACCAGTTTTTGATGTAATTTAAAATGTTTTAAATATACAAGCTTGGAAGTTGTATTACTACACTAATTTGATAGAGATTCCTGTTTATTTTTATAACTTATATTATTATTATATTTGTGAAGATTTATTATTGTAAGACTTGGGGTAAAGAATAATATTGTTTCCATTTGAATTTGATTAACAACACGAGTCTCATTTCTGTTTTTGCGAGATGAATAGAGGAATTTCATTTCAGCTTATTACCATTAATAAATTTAGATTGATTTTAAATTAAGTATTTGATTCTTATAAAAGAATAATATATGCTGTATATTATCTCGAACGGTATTGTTATAAAAATATATATTATAAAAGAAAAAAATGTACGGATTTTTTAAATTATAAATACATTTTCTGTAACAAATGCTATTGTTTGTATATTGAATACTGGAAATTTTCAATATAACCTTTCGTCTCAAGTGAAAAGCGTGACTGTAGTAATATTTTATGACTTGTATTCGCAAAAAAGAAATATTTTTTACGTGTATTCTATGTAGTTCACGCTAATGAAATTAAATAGGAACATATTATTTTAATCAGTAACATATATGGCACTAGTTTATAGGTATTTCTGTTATCAATAACCGATAGTAAGCAATTGCTTTGATAAAAATCCGTCGCTATTTAATACCTGTACGTCGAATGTGTCACTTATCTATTAATTTAAATTAATCTATAACTCGGCTGAATTGTAAGAAACACACGCCACGTATATGAGTAAGAAATTAAAAAAAAAATAAAGATTCAAAAAAAGAATAAAAATTGGCGCGTACGGGAGTAAACAAGCGTTTAATGGAACTAGAAGGTTTAACCTTCAACTGAAATGTCGAAACATTCGCCAGAGTTGGTTCTGAATCAGTGTGTTCTTGATTCACGTGTTGGTTGTTCGCACTACTGAAATAGTCAGTACTCAGTTCATTCTAATAATTAGTGCTGTACACATGATTATATCGTAACATTTAGTGGTGTACCTACCGTTAATATTTAGTGAAACGATAAATTGGATACATATAAAACCTTTTTCGTGTCCAGAAAGTTTTTTAACATCATGTAAGTATGTGATTTGTTATCGTTGAATAACATTCCTGTTTACCTGCAAATGTATTTCTTATCTAATGAAAAAAAATTCGCACGTGTTTCATAAATGTAATAATTGTATGTTAAAAATAAATGTAAATAATCTTATTGTTATATAAAATTAACAGTTATTGAAAATTCTTTGATTGAAAACTATATGCATGTTTGATTTAATTTTATTTACATTTTGAAATACAGCGAATCTTATCTTAATAATTATAACGAGTGTCAGGAAAATGTCTTTATTATCATATGATAACGTGAAATTACTTTCAAATTATTATACATACATATATGAGATCATATTTTTTACATTTTTTATTATAAAACTTGCGTAAATTCACATTTTCTTAGCTATTAACTAATTACATTCTAATAGACAACAAATAACCTATTAAAATTTCGTTTGTCTCACGTATTATACACTTGTTACACAAAAATATTAAGTAAATATATAATTGTTTAATATTCAGTCTCTGCACCTATCTCGTATGATCTCAGCAACAATATCTTTTGGCAGCATAGTTGCTCGTGCGGTTTTCGCCAGAGATGTCTTGGCGCTTCTTCCTGGACGCCGACTGAAATACACGTACACGTTATACACTAGTTGTCTTGTATCAGCTGGTAATTCCACCCCAGCCTCCTCTCCCACTTCTACCCTGCCACTGTACAATCTCCTCCAACTAAACATCGTCCAAGCTGTCATTGCTTCGTCCCCGTATTGCGCCGTCTTGATTTTCACTTACGTCTTCTATATATATAAAATTTTCTCTCGTATTACGGAGAAGAATTGAATTTTTCCCATCAAACAATCACTTATTATTAATATTATAAATGCTATTGACGGTATATCCAATCCATTCGAACGATTACCAGTAACTGATCGAGTAAAGGTCGTTGCAGCCCATCAGCGATGTTCACACAGACGTGACATCCGTCGTTAAAATCGTGATAGAAATCACATATGTTGAATAAGCGGCAGTTTTACAAATTTAGCATGCATACACATGCCGCTGGCTCGTCCAAAACTGAAGCACATGCCGTTATGAGAAACTAATTCGTTCAACGCTAGTGTTGTGACCTAAACCCGAACTGATTACAACCTTCTATTTACATAGTAATGAAAACATTACGTGTCGACACTTGTTCCAATTATCGTTTGTTTGATTTTTTTGTGATGTCCAACACTAATTTGTCCTCAATTATAATCGGACGTGCTGACGTGTGACCAAGTAATGTTAACGAAATGCATCAAACAGTATACATCGCTGGTTTTATAGTTTTAGTTTTAGAAAGGACGGTATAAAAAAGTTTGGCCTTGACGAGCTCGTCTGTTCCTTTCGGTTGTGTTATATTGTATACAAATAATTGCTATTATCTCTGGCTAAGTAATGGTTTTCTTTAAAAATATAGTTAATTAGGTAATCAGCCTTCGTGTATCCGTGAAGCGTTCCGTGTATTCATTTGCCAGAACTCTATTTTCGAATGCCCACCAACCCTGACGTTGCATAACGGTTGTTAAAATAAATGCGCCGAAATACTTGGCGGAAACAACTGTACATAATAATAGATCAGCCAATTTTATGGTCTCAAAGCGTAACAATGTCACTGTCCTAGCCATAATATGCACAGTTTTGGACAAGTAAAGCCATTGTATTAGTATAAATTGCTATTTAAGATTTCATTATAGTAATAATGTCAATTGCTTTTATAGCCAACGCTACTAGCGTATTCAAATAACATTTCCCATACACAAATAGATGACAAGAATATTTAATTTTGATATGACAATCGCATGCGAAGTGTAAATTAATTTATGTATACTTTATAGTAATTATAAGTATGGTGCTTGCTAGTTATAAATAAAATTGGAAATTAATAAAGTGGTGACGTCAATGTGGTTGACGTAAAAGTACAAAGGTCAAGTGTATTTGGAATATACATTCAACACATATAATTACTCCATACTTCCTATAAATAATAAGTATAATTATGAAAGTTTTTATTCACAACGTAAACAAAATCCACCGATTTAGATGAAATTTTGTATAACTGTAGTTGAAACCATAAGATACCTTTTGTTCTATATCTCTAGAAATGGGAATGATGTCTTCAGACAGGATCGATGACGTGTTTGGAAATTTCTTATCATTTCGTGGAAAAAATTTCAACTAGTAATTAATATATTCAATACCTAATTAGGGGAAAACCGAATAAGTATTTAAAGGCTTAATGCAAACTACTTATTTACACGTCACTACTGTATGGTTAATATAAGTTTTGCATCGTCATTTTCACGTCTCGCATTAAATAAAAACGTGTACCTATGGATAAAAACCTGTTAAATCCTGTATTTAAAGTTTTCGTACATACTATTGTTCTCAGTTATCGTATAATGGTTTTCATCGTCATCAGCCTATTAGTGCCCACTACTGAGCAAAGATCTCTTCTGACATAGACACGGTTAGAGAATTAATCACCACGCTTGCTCAAGACAGCTTGACGATTTCAAACTTATAATTTGAAATTATAAGTCCAGATTTCCTCACGATGTTTTCCTGCACTGCCTGTCAGTGGTGTCTAAATAATTTGAGACAGTACAAATATGTATATAACTCGGAAAAAATCACCTTAGTACTTGCCAGGTTTCAAACCCGCGCCCTCATTCATGAGAGGCGGGTCTTAACATTCAAGCCATTACGGTCTTATTGTTTTTTAAACTGCCATTGTGTCAAAGGAAATAAAGGCATTGAAGCTTAATCATACATATTAGGTTTACGTGTTTATAATTTTAAAATTATCATTTGATTCTTTGTTTACTCAACTACCTATTTCCCATAAATTTGATGATTTTTTATTTCTTTTCATTTAGCCTTAATTGTACGTATAACTTTATTAACCCCTGGTAAAGTGTCATAAAAATATATTAAGCCATTACGAAAAATAGAGTGAGTGAACTTTATTGCAGAGAAGCAGTAAAATTTTTCATATCTTTAATTAATATAGGAATTTTACTGAAATGTTATAAATATACACATAATTGCAAACAATATGGAACGTAAAGAAATACATTTTCACGAATTTTGTCCGCTGAATAACATGTAACGGCTATTTAACTCATTCGTCCCGGAATTCATATAACAATAGAATTAAAATGAGATTCTAATACAAATATTAACCTATACTTACTATTATGGGTAGGTATTACGAAAAATCAATACAAAAATTGTATATATTCTTTTTTAATATTGAGATGAATTCAGTAGAAAGTAACGTCGGTCGTCGTGTGAACATGATTGTACTATCAGCTTATCCTAAGATTACATGCAGGCGACTTATGGAGCGTGAATATTTTTTCGTTCATAAATCTTCATACTTTATACATTTAACGTACATAAGTTAGTATATACGAGACGGTAAACGGTTTGTATGTAGTGTGACGAAGCAGACTTGTGCTAAACTATCTGTAACCGTTAAAATGTTTAAAATCGTTGAAGATTTCGCAGATCATTACTTAACTTTAATTTTTTTTGCTGTGTGTATGACCTTCAAAGCATGAAGGTCGATTTAGTAGTTCTTGCCGTCTTAAAATGACTTTTTCTATGTTTTTTTCCAATAAACTCAATTCAATTCCTTAAATTGAGCTATCAATCTCATTAAAATAACTGGTTTTATTCGACGTATTAATGATATATTATGAAGATTTATTAATTAATTTAGAACTTAAATGGTAGAAATATTTGTATTAGTAATTTCAATTAATATAATGCAATTATAATGAAAATACAAATAATTTCTTATTAATAAAAACATTATATTTTTCACTGTTTACGGTAAAATATATAAGTAAAATATAATTCAATATAAATTTAAAAAAACTGAAGGTATTAAAAGGTCGAATAGTTTAAAGCTTTTTTAAATTTTATTTATGTTTGTTCATGTCGTGAAGAATTTCATTTATGTCGTGTATCAGGAAAATTGTTTTGCTGTCAATATCTGGAAAACATTTTCTATCAAAGGAACAAAATCGGTATTTGACCCAGTTTGAAAATAACTAACGTGTATAGGATTGAACTTTTATTAAAATTATTCATACACGTTGAAAGTATAGGGAAAATATTGTATGTAAATTATAGTTAATTGATAAGGTGATGAATAACGAATTTCATAACTACTACCTGCAAAACATCATTAGTAGCTGTTTTAAGCGTTGCTGTACAAAGAATTTTCTGTGTTTTGTTTTAATACAACTTGTACCAAATCACGAATATCACAACTGTATTACAAGTACCTTTAAAATTTGGTTTAAAATCGAAATATTAATAAAAATGAATTTATTATCATTTAAACAATATTATAAGAGTGAGAAGAATTGGTACTTGACTACCGTTAAGATATGAATTTTGTATGCATTTGAGTGAAATTAACAGTCATAGTTTCGAATAGAATGTACAGGGTTCATATGACCCACTCACTAGCTGACATCTCATACAAAGGTCTTTAAAATCTAACAAAACAATTCATTGCCATAAAAAATCTCAATGTAGAGTATATACCACACACTTTCATTAGGTAAATAGTAAACACTAGTTTTTGCCCGCGACTTCGTCCGCGTTAGTTTGGTCAAGAGTAATATATGTAGGTATAGCTGACCAGGCGAATTCTATTCCGTCTTAGAGGCCATAAATAATCAGGTTTTTCCTGTTTCAATCAAACAGAATGATTGACATATTAGTTAGTTGTCAAAAAAAAAACACGTTTGTATGGGAAATAGAAAAGGGCTGTTTTTAGGATTTTCTCGGCAATTATTCCAATTTTTCTCACCTTTTAAACCTTCCCTGGACTTCCAGGAGTATTTCAAGACTAAAATCAGCCAAATCGGTTCAGCTGTTCTCGAGTTTTAGCGAGACTAAGGAACAGCAATCCATTTTTATATATATAGAAGATTAGTAAACAATAGTCGATGAAACTAGTCATGGCGTGGCCATTTGAATGTTTATGTTTGTGCTCAGCAATCAATCTAAAAGCTATAATAAAATATGTATTCGATGATATTTTACTTTGTATAAAGCAAACAAAACAATACCGATACGATACTGTATTGATTAAATTAATGAAAATTGGAAAACGAAGCAAGGCAATCTTTTTCATGGAAATGACTTGAAAATTTGATGGTAATTAGTAACCTAGTTAGATAGATAGATCTCGTCTGCCCGTGATCATTGCTGCAAAGTAACCGAAACGTTAGGATTATACTGTTACAGCAAATAATTCGAAAATATTAGTTTCATTTAAATGAATACTCGAGAAAGTCTTGTATTCATTACTCACTGTATCGTTCGTATATGTTATTGAATGTATAAAATCTACTAGTTCTTTGTGATTTCCTTCACGCGGAATAATATCATCATAACTCCACGGTTTATAGTCTTCTTCTTCTACCTGGCAATTTCCCAGCTATAACCAGGGTCTGCCTTACATGTTGTGAATAGTTTTGGCTAATTGTTTTTACGACCGGCAGCCTGCCTGACATCAACCCTCTTTTGGGAATCAGAATCAATCAGTGATGATTAAATACTCTTAGAAAGTACATATGACTCGGAAAAATCACATTGGTACTTGCCCGGGTCAGGATCGAACCCGCGCCCTCGTGAATGAGAGGCGGGCCTTTTAACCACTAGGCCACCAATGACTATAGTTTATAGTGTTCACAGCAAAATGCGATCGTTTACCACAAACCAGCAGGCAAAAGGCCCGTACTTTAGGTAGTTCTTATATCTTCACTAACAAACAGTACTATACTTTGGACGGCTTTTAAAACTCAGTCTCTTTTTACTGTAACCCAACGTTAAAACGTCAGAGCGATAAGAGAAATACATGTCGACTATCGTTAATTAGATGAGAGCTTTGGTTCTGAACAAGACTGACTGTTGTATTGAATGCGTCAGCATTACTACGCATCATTAGGCTCAAAGAATTTTTATTGCATATTTAAATACATTTAAATCTTGCGCCTAGTTTTGATATACATACATCTGTGATATATTTTTTCAGTTTTTAATGTATAAATTGTTTGTTTCTTTACGTTTAAGCTTCATATTTTGCGCTGTTAAACGAGTCCAAACTGCTGGTAGGCAATCTTTGTCATCCATACTTCAGACGCCACTTCAATATGACGAAGACATGAATAATGTATAAAATATCACTTAACGGTTATGTGAAAGTACTAAACTGATTGAGTCTTGATCACTCCCAATCCTTTATTACGTTCCATGAATAAAATAATTATAATTTTGCGACTCAAAATAAGTCATACTCAAAATTTTACATATGTATCATATGCCAATACTAGAGGTTATTTAATGTATGGTACTGTTATTAGTATTTTTTATAAATTTTTGTTTGTTTTTAAGTCACAATACCTTTATAAGCCGAACTTTCAATAAGCATTTTTTAAATATATTTCTTAATAACAATTTGATTCAATATTGTACAAAAAATAACTGCTATCCGTTAGGCTTATAGCCCGGACAAATGAAGTATTGGAAATCGGATTTTTGAACCTACCACAAGTTTGTTTCGTTAAACGACGTACGAGTAGTTAACGTTTTATCATTAACAGTTGTTAATACTATCAAATTTAATGTATCAAACTGGAAACTCTGCGTTTTTAGTTTGTTCATACAAACTCGTTCAAAGACTTCTGTATTCAATATTACAAAGTCCTCTTATTCAATACGTAAGAAAATCTATTTATAATAATAACATTGATAAACAATAATAAGGTAAATGTATGAAAATAATATACAAAGTAATATATATTAATTGCATATTATATCAGTTCCTTATTAAAAAGAAATCTTATTTTAAATTAAACAAAATTTTCAATTTATTATATTATTTTATTTACTAATTGATTAGTTTTTATTAATTATTAAAAAAACTTGAATTTATCTAAATTTTTTATCATAATTCCAATTTACTAAGTTATTAATGCAAAGAACACGATATTATTTTTTTTTTTTTCTTATCAAAATAACTAACGAACACTATTTCATCTAATTGACTTTCTGATTTTTATTTTATTATTAATTCTTGCACATTAATAATATTTAATTAAAAAATAATTTTAATCGATGACGATGATGAATATTTATCATATTTAATATTTCTGTTGATTCAATCGGTTCTTCCTTGATATTATTTGTGATATTATCCGTCCAGCTCTGTATTAAAAAGGTTATCTATATACAGGGTGACTGGTGAATTACTATCAATATTTAAGGAGCATACTCAGTACATGATTCTCATTCGAATTATGTAAAAATAATAGGTACTTAATTTTTGACCAAATTTCCGTAAAAATAAATAAAGTGTGTACACGTTCCAAGTGTTCCAAGTGTGGACGCGTGCGGCAGCGTGCTGATACAACACCACGCCGCCGACGTGTGTGTGTGTGTGTATACCTAATCTGTAGGGTGTTCATACGATGCGTAATTAATTACATAACTTTTGGTTAACTTTACATAGAAGTTTATTAATATTTATGTTATATTAATTTTTATTTTGTCATATATGATCGTCAAATATCACGTCCTCAAATATCGATAGTAATTCACCAGTCACCCTGTATATATAAAAATGGATTGATGTTCCTTAGTCTCGCTAAAACTCGAGAACAGCTGAACGGATTTATCTTATCTTGGTCTTGAAATGTTCGTGGAGGTTCAGGGAAGGTTTAAAAGCTGAAAAAAAATGATTCATTACTGGGAAAACTATAAAAACAGCCCTTTTCTATTTCCCAAACAAACGTTTTTTTGACATTAGATTTGACAACTAACTAATATGTCAATCATTCTGTCGCACTTCAAAACACGGAGATTTATGGCTTACAGGTAAACTCCAAAAATATAAATAAAAAAATGTAATAGATATTTCTTTATTAAAGGGGGATATGAAGTTCGCCAGGTCTTCTAGTTTTTAATATAACATTCACAATTTATTCGGAGACTGCCTGAACATCCAAGTCATGAAATCACAATGAGACGCATGCTCTGTCACTTTCTTGGAGTACATGGTGTTTTTTTTGCATAGTTTTTTTAAATTATAATACTATGAATATAAATAAAATGTTTTATTCTATTACTTTTATAATCTGTCACAAATCACACACATTTTCCTTTTTTAAACTAATTTTGTTTTTTTTTTTAACTCCTTTAAGAAAAAGCAAAAGTTTAAAATTTATATTCCTTTCTTTTATATTTTTAGATACGATCTCATTTTTGAGTTGTTTTGGATTTTGTTTTAAAAGACTTTAGGATAGGGGAGCTTAGCAATACACACGTGGAACGAATACTTCCCCCAACAAATGACTACCTGGATTACATTATGTTCCATTCATACAAAATCTTGTTTTTTTTTTTGAAATCTCACAAGATTTCGGTTATACTTTTGATATCCAAATTGTAAGTTTTATATAGAAGTCGTGTTAATTTTTTTTAATCATACTTATTGAGTCAATATTTCGAAGTTAAATCCTGTAGAGTAAATGACTAATAGAATGACTCAACAATGCGTTTAAACTTAGATACCGTTTTAAAAAGTTGTGATTGCAGCATAAAGTGCTGTTAAAATTGTTTGATTTGTCATTGCTTTCTATTTTTGAGTTATAATATTTGTCAGTGTAGTCGTATGGTCGACATATGTTCGAGTGCAAACAGCTTCTGCCGCCACCTGCATACATCCCACTCGCACGCGCCATAACAGCTGTTGTGTAGGCGCTGGTGGGCTTGGAATTTAGCTATACTGGGATCATTACTCGCTATAAATATACCTATTAGACTCGTTACACTCAAATATATAATTGGCACAAAACTTTTGATATAGCCAAAAATGTTGTATTAAAATTTCGTTTTTTAATCGTATGTTAATTTTCGATCTATCGAATTCAAATTGATGTTTGTCTGTGTGATGATCTCACCGGTCGTCAATCTTGACAATGCAAAGGACCGGTCGTCGTTCGTCGGTGGGGGGCTGCGGTGCGGGGGTCCGGGAGGGGGAGGGGGGGCTGCAGGGGTCGCCCGCGGCCCCATACACACCGCGCGCCGCACGGCCAGTACGTTGTGTGACAGTGAAGCTGGCCGCCTTACGCGCGGCGCGCGCGCTCCCGTTGACGACACTTCATTATTAGTATAATACATTCCTCTAGTCAAAATGTAGTTTAGTGTTCCGTTCAATAGTGTACTAGGGATCGTTCAGTGTCCTAGATGTCATCTAGATCAGTGTTCGTTATATGATACGGTTCAAAGAACAATGCTGTGGGAAAAAATAACGTTCAGCTGGCATCGGCTGTCGTTCCCAGCTACCTACCGAACTCCCTCCCCCCGCGGACCGGGTGCCGGGTTCAATGCGCCTCTTCGCGTTTATTCATCGTTTGTGGGAAAAGTTGACCCCCGTTTTTAAATTTCATTGTTAACGAATTCACACGATTTCGTTCTTATAACTACCGCATCTTAGATTAGCGGATATTTACACCTTGTGTTATATTAATATTCTATGCTTCATTAATGTGCCGCCTCGTATAGACTGAAACAGTGGCTTTTATTCGGATAATTAAAACTTAATGGTATGGGTGGTTTAAACTTTTTATTGTCACTGAAACGTCAAGGTTATACATTCCATAGAACTTTTGTGTTTGTTCTGAGCCAGGCCTTTAGTGTTTGTAGAGTAACAAAATATTAGTAATTCGTAATAACAGACTCCAGCGTGGTTTTATAAATCATATGATAACATACATCGAGCGTGAATATTGTTGAACGACTGTTGATTTTAATTTGAAACGTGTTGAATCGATCTCTGTGCAGTTGTTTAGTATTGAAACAGTGAATATGACGTGCGTCCAGTGAACAGTGATCTACCTGACATCGGATAAAGGAATACATAAAAGATGGGCAACCAAGGTTCCTCGCCTCATGAACCGTTGGACCGAGTCCAGGTGCAAAATGGGGATCTAAAAATGGTTAGATATGTTCCTTTATTATAAATAATAACGACTAGTTAGTAGTTTAATATTGAGTTAATATTCAAGCAATTATATTTTAAATTAAACTCGTCTCTACCTATGCCGTTACCTTGACATAAACCAGATAAGTTTCTTAATACTTGTGAGTGCAGCCGTCAGTTATAATTAACATCCTTGTAACTCGAGTTCATTATTAACGATTGTGCCTTTAAATTGAACATAATACTTTATAATTGCTCTGATCCAATTGACGTCGCCAGTCGATTGTGCTTAAGAGGAATAACAAATAGTTTTAATTCATTAGGGAAACCGACGGTCAAACATTTGACCTTATAAAAACATTAATTCACGGTGGCCATGATTGTTTTATCACATAAGGTACTCCGTTTGATTAAATTTAAATATTTAATACTAGCACTGTGGAATACATTAGTTTAAAGAGTATTAACAAAGAGTTATAGAACCTTGTTTTAAATTTAAATTTAAACACGTGTGCCCAACTTATCTATTCCATATTGTACCCTTGAAAAATAATTGCTTTACCTAAAGTATAATTATATTCATACATATATACTTACTGTTTTTTATGCTTTAGATTATCCTTATTTGAATACCGACAATCAAATGACACATTTATTTTATCAGGAGCTCCCTGCAGAGGAAATGTTTCATAATACGTGTTAATGACCGACTGTCACCCATTATATCAAATATGAATTATGACCTCAATACAAAAAAAACTTATTATATTTGCTAGTAATTAATAATAGTAGAATATTATATATTTTTAATTGTTATATAATTAAATTATATTTAATACATTACTTTATCAAAACGATAATTTTGAAGAGTCGCTTCGTTTAAAAATGTTTTCAACGACCCTCGCGTTTAATGTTTTGTTGGAACAGCACGCGAATGAACTACGTCTGAAGAGTAATCCAGCTTTGAAATATATTATGCTTTATGATTTAGACACTTAAACATCTGTTAAATGGACAAATGTTATGAAATAAAAAGCGTGGGATTTATTTTAAAACAGACAATTATATAATATAAAGAGGTTTTTTTAATAAATATGTATACGTAATTGAAAGGTAACATTCTTCATACGTAGTTTTCATGATAATTCTAAGAACTGCTTGAAGTGAGTGGAATCATATTTTGAATAAGTATTACCTCTGCATTACTTAGATGTTTAATACTGTTTGATTGAAATAGTAGTCTAATGTCTATGAAATAAAGCATTTATTCGTTTAAACATACGTATATTATAACTTTAATGTATTAAAATATACCAGGAAAAATGTTGGACGTGACGCAATAGACGCGGACGTTGAGTCTCGAAACGTGGACAAAATATTTTATAAGTATTATTCCTAATTCCTATCTATATTTACACTCGACTTTAGGCTTAACTGTTAAAGATTTGTAAATTTTAAACATGTCTGCAATGCGGCAAACTCTTGTTTACAAAGAAAAACAACGTGATATTTATTTTTATAGAGATTTAACGAGATTGTAACTACATACATTACATTCTCGATAATTGTGAGGAATTTATTTATTTGTAATGTCGAAAGACGAGTCTACGAAGCGTGGGTCTGTCTCCATGGAATGATAAAAGTCCACCCACTAACGCCATATACAATGGTGTGATATGTGTGTACCGTACAGTAAGGCCATGCCTATTTGCTAAGTAGCTTTTACCTCTTGAACAAACAAAACGCTAGACGTGAAATCACCAACGTATGATTTAGTGGTGGGTTACTCAAACAGAAATATATATTTTAATATCATTTTCTACTCAGATTACGATTGAGTAAAGCTAGAAAATTTTAATACATGAATCTGTTAAGATTTGAAAGAATTATTGCATATCTTACGAAGTACTTGGTCTATATTTTTGGGTAAACTTTCGTTTATTAGATCTAAAACCATTATGTAATCATAAAATTTCAATTACTTTTAATTCAATTTGAAGACAATCTCTTTTAAATGCAAACTATGATCAAATTTAGTAAAGTATGTCGGATGTATAATTTTGAGATCGGTAAAAATACCACTAGTATTCATATTCGCTTGCGTATTTGGACCATTAATAGATTTATATATATACTGTACTCGTGTTATATACAAGATAATTTTAGTTTTTATATTTAATATATTTTCATACGTTCTTCCGGGTCATATGTACTTTCTAAGAGTATTTAGCCATCATTGCTTAATGCATTCAAAAAGAGAGTTGATGTCAGGCAGGCGGCCGATCGTAAAAACAATAAGCCAAAACTATTCACAACATGTATGGCAGACTCTGGCTAAAGCTGGGAAATTGCCAAGTAGAAGAAGATATTTTCATACGTTTTAATATGTCTTCCATAGCTTGATATTTTTACGTGTGTAATGCTTGACCTTCGCACAGATAAGATTACATGATAGTATCAGGTTGCTATTGTGATCAGATTGTCTTTACAAAACATTCACGTGTGTTGGACAAATGAAATCAATGTTGACAATGAAAAATAATACCACATTAAATGATTTATTACACACTTGTTTACCCAAGATATTTAAGTTTCTGTAATAAAAGTACTTTTAGACATAGAATTATCTTGATTAAATTTAATATAAGGTAGCTATTCTCATAATGAAAATTGAAAATAACTTCTCACGTTCTCTAGCTTTCACAGAATTAATTACAAATATTTTATAACTTCATTTCTCTTGTAATAAAATAAAAGGTAATTTATTATTGTAACTCCGATATGATGGCTCTTATATTGAATAGTTTCTCATATAACTTTTCCAGATGATCTCTAAAAGCGGAAATCTCATTACTGTCTTAATCATTTTAGATAATTGCTTTCATACACGCGAATTGATTGTATGAAGTGTGATTATGAAAGTGAGTTAAGGAATGAATGTGTGTGTGTTTTAGAAGTCCTGCAAAATAAGTTTTAAGAATGTGAGTTAATAAGTGAATGTGTGCGTGCGTGCGTGCGTGTGTGTGTGTGTTTTAGAAGTCCTGCAAATAAATTTTATGAAAGTATATTAATAAGTGAATGTGTGTATTTCAGAAGTCCTCAGTCCGTAGTTCGTTGAGACGGGCGCGGGCGGGGGCTGCGCTGTCGCCGCCTCGCGCCGGCATGGAGCGTCTGAGGCGCTCCTTTAGGGAATCCTTCCGTAGGAGGAAGGGCTCCCCCCCAGAGTCTGCCAGGCCTCACCAGTGGCACGCAGACGAGGCCGCGGTCAGGGCCGGGACCTGCACCTTCCCTGTAAAGTACCTAGGATGTGTTGAAGTCTTCGAGTCACGGGGAATGCAAGTCTGCGAGGAGGCGCTTAAAGTATTGAGAGTAAGTTATTCTACGCTATAGTCCTTCGAAATATTATGTATTCACCTAATGTAAAGTACTAGGTTTTGTCCGCGACTTCGTATGTATTAGTTTCAGAATTAGAAATGTATAGCTGATCGGGCAAACTCTATTCCTCCTTAAAGACAGTAATCTAATCCGAATTATCTTAATCTTATCCGAACTATCTTCTCAACCATATCATTTCGAATTCAATATCTACTTAGGACCCCCTATAAATACTAAATGTGTCCCGAAAGCTAGTAAACTGATAGTGTCTAAATGCACATCGATAGTGGGTCTTCACGTCTTATGTGAATTCATACAGGTGCAGACAAATCCGTCCGTGCAAGACACTACTTCGTTGAACATTTAATATTACATTAAACGGCTGCTTCGTCCTAAATAAAGATTTTCAAAGGAGATTAATAGCTACTTAAAGCGTGAACAAAAAATGTTCGCACCATTTACGTAACAGAGAAAAGTAAAGAATTTATTTTGTTACAGCGTAATAGTTCAGCGTAGATGCCTCTCATTACTTATCAGTAATATTTTGTGTTTAATAACTACATATAAAGATAGAAGATAGAAACGAAACAGCCTTACTTGTTAATAAGAACAACAAGGAAATTTTAAAATTTTGTTTTATATATTTTCGTCCTTAATATAAATCAGTAATTAAGATACGGATTACTAAGAAAATAAAAAGATTCAAATCTTCCTAATCTCTAACCAACTAGTTAGATTTGAAACCAGTTTATTTCTAAGTACCAAAACCAAAGTTATTCCTCCAAAAACTATCAGTTTTAAACTATGTTTTTAACTTTTGAATCTAGGCTTTTTTTGTCATATTTATATACATATATACCTTAAGATATGGTGTTAAAGTAAATATGTTGTTATTTCTAGAATTCCCGTCGCCGGCCCGTCCGTGCAGTTCTTCACGTGAGCGGTGATGGATTGAGGGTTGTGGAGGAGGAAACCAAAGGTCTGATAGTCGATCAGACCATAGAGAAAGTCTCCTTCTGTGCTCCCGACAGAAACCACGAGAGGGGGTTTAGGTATGTCCATATTATTTAAGAACTTCCATCTATTTTTTGTATTGAATATTAAAAGTAATGATAGATAAAAAATATGTTTAAGAAATTGTATGACACGACCTTGATTATTTATCTTTTTAAGTGAATTACTACTTTCATAGAAATATACTTATATTTATTATAAAATTTTTGGTTCTACATAATTTGATACATATGTACGTAACTTATTTTATATAAGTAAATAAATACATTTCGATGAAGTTATTATATTTCGATGAAGTTATTATAAGCAACTTTAATATCAATAAATTTAGAACAAGTTATTACGTACATATATCAAGTATATTTATTTTAAATGAAATCGAGAAAAAAATGTTGTTAATTTTAATATATTACACTTAAAATAATTTAAACAAAAATTAATTTTTAAAAAATATTTCCTTTCAAAAACAATTTCCAAGTAATCTTATATCTAAGTCCCATATTTATATAAGGATCTCCATCATTATGTTTTGTACCCGACATTTTATCTTCAACAAATAATATTATTTTTTGTGTTTACAAACTAAACTATCGTAAAAATGTAACACATCACAAATATTTGTCGCCACTCCGGTACGGTTATATAATTTTATTAACCACATATTTTGGCCTTTCCTTATCGTACTTTATAGAAATAGTTTATTTCCAATATAATAATATTTCTTTCTTATATACTTAGTTAAAGAAAAATATTAAATATATAAATATAAATCTTTTTATGTTATTCTATAATATAGAGAATTTCTTTCGTGTATTACGTATTTAAATACGAAATGAATCTACGAATGTATCAAAATTAATGTTAAAATTTCATTTCTTATCTCAAACATAAACGAAATATAAACAAATTACTTCATCTTTAAGATATTAAGAAGGTTGTCAAGATATGAATTACTCTCAGGTTTTATACGATACTGTTTTACTGCTGTATATATATACATATATATGTATGTATATGTAACTCGAGACATGCGTACGCAAGGCTTCACCGCTAACGTAACAGTATTCTTAGTACAAGTTTCAAACGTCACTATATACGTAACGTACGACGTTTTCGCTTCAATAACGTACGCTTATATTATAATTAAGTATTAGAAAAAATGTATGAATGAAAAAAAAAACAGTTAAAACTCCGTAAATAGCGTGTCCATGTTAACTCAGACTAAGAAGTGTTCTCATTGATAAGAAATCTTACAAGTTCTTACGTTACTTTTACTTAAACAATTATATAATATGTACATTTATTTTTATAATCATAATCTGTTATTTAAATTATTTGTTTGTGAATTTTGGATAAATTTTTATGAGAACGTAAATATACATAGGATTTGAAATTTTCCATTACCCGTATTGTTAGTACTTATAAGTACAAGTATAAAACTATTACGTAAGGTGAAATAAATTTTAAGACACAGAATCCTAATTAAAGTTTCATATAAACATGGATATACAGGCTAAGTGGCTTAAAAATTGTATCAGATTTTTCCAATTAAGGTTCAATACACTTAATTTATGTATATAAGTAATTAGCCTACTGATATCATTAAAGTGACAATATGCTGAAATATACGGAATCATTAAAACGTTGCGATTAATAATAATAATCTGACTAAGCCTAGCCTAGCCTAATATTAGCCTAGCCTATTAAGGTTAAGCTATAGGAAAATTTCTTCTTCGTATTCCCTTGTTGAGCATGAAAAGTTTTATCGTTTGAAACTTTCCTATTCACATTATAGTATTAACGTAGATTGTTAAGTGAGTAACGTTAAACGGTTGGTATATAGTGTGACGATGCAAACTCGGACTAAGCATACTGTATGAAGTGTAATAACTGATATTCGTCTATGTTTCTAAGTAATATCATCTGTAGAACTGTAAAGGAAATGCTACTTATTTAAAAGGATGAATTTATGTGATATTATTATAATATTAGATATTTCTTTGAAAATTATTATCCGCACCATATTGCAGACTGTAATCGGCATTCTCAACAAATATATTTTCTTATACATATAACTTTTTATTTCACAGTCTAACCACTTATATCCTGTCGTTTACGTCATTCTAAAACTATCATAGTACCTAGAAGAATAATATTAAATATTAAACTTAATATAATTGAATGTCACCGTCATACTCTTTAATTATTAAAAACTAGCTGCGCCCCGCGGTTTTACCCGCGGATTTCCGGGATGTAAAGTAGCCTATGTGTTATTTCCGGACGTCAGCTTCCTGTATACAAAATTTTATCAAAATCGGTTCAGCCGTTTGAGTGTTAAGAAGTAACAAACATACACAAACTTTCGCAACTATAATATTATATATACAGGGTGACTGGTGAATTACTATCGATACTTGAGGACGTGATATTTGACGATAATATATGACAGAATAAAAATTAATATAACATAAATATTAATAAACTTCTAAGTAAAGTTAACCAAAAGTTATATAATTAATTACGCATCGTGTAAACACCCTACAGATTAGGTATATACACACACACACACACACACGTGCGCCGGCGTGGTGTTGTATCAGCACGCCGCCGCACGCGTCCACACATGGAACACTTGGAACGTGTCCGCACTTTATTTATTTATACGGAAATTTGGTCAAAAATTAAGTACCTATTTTTTTTACATAATTCGAATGAGAATCATGTACCGAGTATTCTACTTAAATATTGATAGTAATTCACCAGTCACCCTGTATACTAGAAGACCCGACGAACTTCGTATCGCCCCATAATCAAAAAATATCTGATACGTTTTTTATTTATATTTTTGGAGTTTACCTGTTAAAGCCATAAATCTCCGTGTTTTGAAGTGCTACACAATGATTGACATATTAGTTGTCAAATCTAATGTCAAAAAAAAGTTTGTATCAACAACTACTAATAAATTAAAAAAACATTGTCCAGCGGACGAAATTATGAATCTAAACAATTCCCAGATCCCCTTGAACACACACAAAAACTTTCATCAAAATCGATCCAATCGTTTGAGAGAAGATCAGTGACATACACACTTATAGAAGAATTATATATATAAAGATTAGGATTAGGATGATAATTTTGTTTATATAAGTTTGTCATATTGAGTGTATTACTAATGTAAGTATATATAATCTATAGCTACATATGTCGTGACGGTACGACACGTCGTTGGATGTGTCACGGTTTCCTCGCGTCCCGGGACAGCGGGGAGCGTCTATCGCACGCCGTGGGATGCGCGTTCGCGGCTTGCCTCGAGAGGAAACAGAGGAGAGATAAAGAATGCGCTGTATCTATGAGTATAGACGCCGCCAGCCACGCGTTCACAAGACAGGGGAGCTTTAGAAAATCAGGTTGGTTCAATATCATTCAGTCACTCATTCATTAGTTGGTTCATTATCATCTTTAACTCATTTATATTATTTCATCATTGGTTTATTATCATTCTCCAATTATTTTAACTCCGAAGGTGAATGAATGTCTGAAATTATTAATGGGTAGGAGTTTTTTAATAATAATGTTGTAACTTATGGATTAGATAGATTCTGTGTCTAATTTATTGACATTTTAATGACTTAGAATGTGATTAAGACGACTTTGCAGTTATTTTCAACTTTTTATGTTATATGTATATTGAGAAGTTTCATGTAAAGAAAACAAGATTAGTTATATATTAACTAATAACTATATAACTATTCCAGGTATAACAAGTCGTCGTACATCAGAGCCGGCAGAGCTGCCACAGTCTCCTGTCAGCGTGACTACCCCCGGCTCGGGGCGGGTCGCTCACAATCCCTTCGCGGTGGAGCGGCCCCATGCTGCGCCACACCTGCTAGAGAGACAAGGCTCCTTCCGCGGCTTCGCTCATCTCAATAACAAGTACGATATATTTAATTTCAATATAATATTAGAGGTATAACAGCTAAATCTCTCTATAACCTACTAAAAGACTTGGGCCTGTCCAGAACTAATATTAATTCACTCTTGGAACGTACGTCGAAGGCAGCCCTAGTAGGTTTTTTTAAATTTGGTTAGGTAGAGAGAGGAGCTTGGACAGTGGAGGTGAGCGTTAAACGCGTGTTAGTTAAGGGGCCCCACCTACACCTGGGTCACAAGTCCCAGTCACTGTTGAAGCTCCTCTCACTACAACGATGGACCCGGCACCCGCACGGTGAATACATTGAATGCTAAGAGGTTTCGTCTCATATATATTGGTGGGGATAGTGCAAATCTGCGTAACTACCATTGGATAATTCCACGTATCTACATTGGAAGAATCAGAAGAAATTTTAAGCTGAAATATTTTCCAAATTACGACTTTTAAAATATTTTTTTCACAATAAGCAACAAATTAAACACTTAATATATGTATATATATCTCAGATTATTAACTGTTTGAATCTGTTTCCAGTTCGCCATTCAAGCGGCAGATGTCGCTACGTATATGTGAGCTGCCTTCCAACTTGGAGAGACAACGAATCGGTCTCGGTTCTCCTTCCAACGGCGTCCCAGCGTTACCTGCGGCGCCCGCTGTACCTGCGTTGCCCACCCTACCTACACCAAGCCCTAAACCAGACGTAGCCGCTGTTGAGGTAATTAATTTACTTATATGAAGAACGTTAACATATTTCTAATACATATAATTCATGAAAAGTATGAAATATAAGCTGATGCTCATAGTCAAAGAAATAACCGGATGTATTTGAGAATTGAGACATCCTATATATCTCTAGATAAAAAAAAATATATAGTCGTCAATTAAGTAATTAGCAATTTATACTAAAATGTCTCAATATAAATCTTTTAATAACCCCATAGGGGCCGTTCAAGTATTACGTAAGCAGATTTATTATAATTATTTACCCCTCCCTCCCCCTTGTCAGCAAAAGTAAGCAAAACTCTTACCCCCTCCCCCCAAGCTTACGTAAACATTTTCAATTACTGTACATATTGGTTTTTTTTTCATATAAATCCAGAAATAAAATTATAATTATATTTTTTATATATCTTCTCGATGTGACGATTAAAAAGTAAATAACTACCGATGACGTAATCATTACCTAGACTCCCATACCCCCCATGTCATCCAAAATAATCAAAGCAAAGACCTCCCCGCCCCACCATAGTGCTTACGTAATACTTGAACGGCCCCATACTAAAATGTCTTAATATAAATCTTATGACCCCAGGATAAGTCATCTGAAGAACGTTAAGATATTTCTAAAACATATAATTCATGAAAAGTATGGAATATAAGCTGATGATAATAATCAAAGAAATAACTGGATGTATCTCTAGATAAAAAAAAATACATAAAGTCGTCAATAAATAATTCCTATTAATATGTCTCAATATAAATCTCTTAATGACCCCATACTAAAATGTCTCAATATAAATCTTTTAATGACCCCAGGATAAGTCATCTGATCCGGTAGCTGAGATGTGTCAGCAGTTGTCTCTTGGTCTTCGCGCATTGGCTGAGGAGCCTGTCCCAGCGGCGGCGGGGGCCCTGCCTCACCCCGACGCGTGGCTCGGTCGGGTCGCTCGAGCCCCCGCACTAGCGAGCGCTGGCAGAGCTGCCTCATTCGCTGGTCGAGCTGCTACTAACCCCTTCATCACCGCCCCCGCGCCGCTATAGATAATATACCGTAACGACCCCATTAAATACGTGACGCCATATAAAACGTGGGGTATATGTTAACCCCAATATCTAAAACTATCACATACGTACGGGACCCCACGGAATATTCTAATAACAGTCTAAATGACTTACAAAGTAATATAATCATTCATATTCGCTTCAGGCTGAATCATCGGTTGTTCAATGGACACATGTATTGTCTTACGGGTAATTGTTATTTGACTTGAGACCTTCTCCGTTACTAATATTGTTTGTGACTGAATGCGTTAAACGCTAAGTAACGACGGCATCGAAGTCAATAATCGATCATGTACTTACACGTTAGAAGACTTGATGTTGTACTTAATAGAAATGTCTTAAAAGATCTTTATTGGATGTAACTTAAAATAATAGGAAAGGAAATAATGAAAAATATATAAATAATGAGTCTTACATATAATCTACTGCCAAGAAATGACTGGCGAGGAATAATAATTATTGAAATGCGTTTAGGATGAATACTCATAAATATTTGGGCTTCAAATAAGAGGAATATAAATAACTGATATCATTGTGACGTAAGCTTTTGACGTCATTCGCCAAATAATATGCTCGCTAGGCTTTGATGTAGTAGAAGGCACTTACACTACGTTCAAAACGATCTATAAGAAAAACGATTGTTTGTCTGGCTCAGACAGATAAAATATATTTATAGATAACGTTTGTTCCTAAAGAATTAAAGATATAAAGTTACTATATAAAAAATTAAATGAATGTAACAAAGTACTTATGTCGATAATTTTCTTTATACGTAAATATTTCCAAAGAAATTATTAAACGAATGGATGAACAAATTTAATTTACTGAAACTGCGAACTCGATTACAAAACTGTGTAATTAATGCTCAAAATTATATTTTTAATCTGTGTATTTTAAAGTATCGTTAACCTCAAATTCCGTCGCTGTCGTAGTTTGTTATATACGTATATTCCAAGAGCTGCGCTTTACGTAATATTTTAAGCTCGTAATAGCACCATTGACTGTTATACGCACGCTGTGTCATGAGACTCTTAGACTATATATAAATATTAAATGGATTCGTCACAGAACGAACATCTGTTTCTGGTGGGATTTAAAATTTTCATTTAACGCTCTGATTATATTTTGTCAGACATCGATCGAAGAGATATAAATAATTTTTGAATGTTCTACAATTTATACTAACATGTTCCATAGTGTTACGTTTCGAGAGACAAATATATACAAAGTATAATTTTTCGACTTATCTTTGATCCGCACCGTGCTTTTGTAATGCACCTAGTGTTATGGTAAGTTAAGTGTATGCTTGTATAAAACTTGGGAATTTCACCCGCCCACATACGATCAAAATGTTACAGTATTTAAACTTGATAAGCTTTTTTTAGACACGTTTTATTTTCCTTTGTATATAATTGTAAATTTTGTAGGATACATAAATCTTCACCACTTTGTGATTTTGTTTTTGTTTATATATTTTTATCGATGCCACAGCAACGTGGGTTATGTTCTATCGATCAAATTGTAATATAGTTTGATGTACGACGCACTTTCTTCTCGTGTGACCATGTTATTGATCTAACATATAAGTTAGGGTTTTTGTTATATATCTTAGGTAATTATTGAAATTTGTATTCTCTTTTTTTAGTACCGATGAGAAAAGGAGTTTAATATAGATGTTATTCGAAAATTCTTAATTGTTTATGTGTTCGATTTAAGAGATAAATATTGTCTTAAATCGCCATCTTAATTTCTAGAACAATGTTTGGATGGTCATGTACTTATATTAATTATAATTTCGTGAAGCACAATGATTACAGCACAACACTTGTTGCATTATACATTCCAGTTTTCTTTTACGAACAGTCATCGGCCGAACGAAATAATTATTGCATATCATAGCTGACTAAATATAAAGCCGCTTCTATAATGGCAGTTTAATGTTATCCTCTCAATATGTTATGTGTAACCAGTTTTATATATTTGTCATACGAGAACATAAAAAACTTGAGATATTATTCAAGTTTTCTTAATGTTGCCAGTAGACAAAATAGCAAAACACTAAATGAAAAGCTGCCATTTGTTATAATGTATTTAAAATGCTTGATTTTATTGTAAAAGCTTCTCAGTGTTTTTAAAATTTTTAGAAATTTAATATGATGTTGTAAAATGTAATGGAAATTTCTGCACCTTTTATTAAAATCAAGCACTATTTATAAAACATCTTGGTGTATCATAAAGTACAGTTCATAGTGAAACTATTACATCTCTTAAGACTAGTTTAGTCCCATAAGTACTTACATGTGGAAACAATATTTCATGTCTTCATTATAAAATGATTTTTTGAAAATTTTTATCAGTAATGTTGTACTTAATTTATCAAAATCCAGTTGTTTTGAGAGTAAATTGTTGGATGTTATTTTGTATATTTTTTCCAATTTTAATTTCGGCTAAATTATGAAATATGTACATACCAGGGCATATTTGTAGATATTTTAGGTAACAAGAGTTCAAATATTATGAAGAGTAATAAATATTATGGTTAGTTGAAATTGTTTTTCATTTAAACAATACGATTATTGAGCACTGACTAAAATAAATAAAACGAGACAATGTTTGCTGCACAACTTTATTCATTTATACATGAATATATTAACGGCATAAACTTCAGTGCCTACAAACTACCTAAACAACTTAACTATTGTCTGTTATAATCATCCCATAGACAAGGTGACCGGGAACATTCACATCTTTATATCAATACATATACAAATATTTTTAGAGCAAAAAGACATGTGCTAACGGACTTTATAGAATCCCGAAGATCGAGTTAATACTTTTCATATTCCACTACAAATTTACAAACGTATAAATATTATTTAATATATAATAAATTATCATTAAAAATATCTACCGGCAAAAATAGATTCTTTCATTAAAAGCTGTCATTTATACCAAAGCGACTACATGCTGTATAATATGCTGATTAAGATAAATGTATGATTAAATTACATAATATACACATAGCAAACCAAATGTTTATATCATGGCATAAATATTAAAATTTATATCTATGTTTTTCAAATGTATTTTAATTTTATTAGGAATGTTATCTAAAATGCAAAGTAACAGAATATAAGGATTATATTTTGGAATACATTTTCTAATATTTGATTTAACATACTAGATCTGACAATTAACATTCACTATTCTATTATTTTTGCTAATGGATAAGAATGTTTAAACACATGTAACATGACTAGCACTAATATAACCAGACACATAGAAAAATTTAAATACATTTATAAATAAATAATAATTACACATTGGTAAAACAATATCACATTTCCATAAAAGAGAATATAAAATAAATCAAAACAATATAAACATAAGTTATTATAAACTGAATAAAAATCCGAATTGAGATCTCACAAAGTTCCTTATAATAATAATATTTCATACTGATTTATTTTTGTTATTTGTTATATTGTATATATTTCTTGTTTATATAATATCTTTCATTTTAATATTTTAAAATTCATAAATTAATATTATAGCAAATTATAAGATCGCCAGCAACCTCTTACATTACAAGCTGTTACCTACTTACTATAAAGATAAATTAGATTTAAATAAAAATAATACTTGATATACATAAGTATAAGACATGATTTACTTTGGTTATTTTATATGGTTTAAATATTCGAAGTCACATAGTATATTTATTCAATATACAGATTTTTTTATCATCTTTTCTCTGTAATATAATTCATTTAAATAATTTCCTCGTCTTCTATGCTTCATACAATTAAGAATGGTTATATGTATACTTAGATTCCTAAGAAAACAGCAACAGAGTTATAGTTTTGTTTTAATTATAATATGCATACATTTTTAGCTGTCAATGATACCAATATTAAATTATTAAAGGCATGCCTATAAATGCAAATTAATAAGCTGCTAATATTATCTACAGTTACATATATACACGAATGATTTCAAACTAACATTCAATTTTAGTGACATTTTTAATTAAACAAATATGTGATCATACTACGGGTGATGTGATAGGATTTTTTAATGTGTGATTTGTGTAACAATGGTTATTATATATTTGATTTTGTTTAACATAAGTCGTTCTTGTGTTCAATTCAATAATTTTTGAATAACGTCAGGTTTTAGGTTTTGTATGTTCATTAGTAAATCTCAGGAATTGTTCAGAGTACTTAGATATATGTTATTTCCTCGTCTTTACTCGTTCGTAGCGTGTATGTTGTCGTGACATCTCTGGCACACTCTTACTGGTCTTAGCGCTCGTAAACGTCTAACAGGAGCCTCATAGCGTGAACAACGACCGCAGAACACGGCGCCACACTCGCGACAATGATGACGACGCTCTAACGCTGTGAAGCGAACCTGGAAATATTATATGTATTGTATTAAACCTTTTGAATTGAATTTAAAATCAAATAGAAATTAATATAGACAAAGATTTGTGGAAAACAGGATTCAAACGCAGATTTGAATGAAAAAACCGGAACGTCGGAATAGTTCAAGAATTAGCCCCAAATTGCTTTAATAATAGTAACATACATAGTAGACACATACAGATATATGTATTATTTATTATTGCAAATTACGACTTTATCCGTTTGTATATTGGATTAACGTTACTTGCAATATCTAGTTACTTTTGTAAAGTTTTATTGGCAGTTATGAAATTATATTGCAAGGTTATGTCCATCCCTACTAATATTACAAATGCGAAAGTAGCTCTGTCTGTCTGTCTGTTACGCATTCACGCCTAAACCACTGAACCGATTTTAATGAAATTTAGTGCAGATAGAGTTGACCTTGAGAAAGAACGTAGGATAGTTTTTATCCCAGACTTTTGAAAGGTTCTCTTGGAAACGCGATACAACCGAACTCATGGCGGGCGAAGCTGTGGACGGAAAGCTAGTATTAGTATATATCCCGTGTCTACCTGACACTGAGTACAGAAGGGCGCGGTGTCATCTCTTATCCAGTGATCCGCGGGCCCGCCCTTAGCGCCCGCCGCGCTAGACATGTCCGGTGCTGACCAACGGAATATCTGAAATTGAATATATAAAACGTTATAATATAAATTATAATTTATATAGGGGCTTTAATTTATTTATGTATTTTAATATTTTTATAGCTATTCGATTATTTGTTATCTTTATTCTATCTGCTCCCATTAACTCCTTAACAATCGTTATTTCTCATTTAGTACTTCTGAGGTTAGAATAGTGGTTTTGTTATTTTTTAAGCTGTGTATAGACTAATCAGAATTAAGCTGTGTGTGGATGCATATAAATCATAGGTTCAAGGTTTGATATGAGTAAGAGTGATGTATTATACTATACTAGAACACACGGCGAACTTCGTATCGCCCTATAATCAAGAAATATCTGTTACGTTTTTTATTTATATTTTTGGAGTTTACCTATTAAAGCCATAAATCTCCGTGTTTTGAAGTGCGACAGAATGATTGACATAATATTAGTTAGTTGTCAAATCTAATGTCAAAAAAAACATTTGTATCAACAACTACTAATAAATTTAAAAAATGAAAAATTAATTAAAAAACATCTAGCGGATAAAATTGTGAATCTAAACCATTCCCAGATCCCCTTGAACACACAAAAAATTTCATCTAAATCACTCACAGAAGTATTATATATATAAAGATAGTATAAGTTATTACCCGCCCCCTGGCGTCGCCCACAGCCAGTCCTCTTCCCGTGCGCGCGGCGGCCAAAGCAGTCACAGACGCGGGGCAGGCGTTGTCTCGCCGCTCGTACGCCGTGTGCATAGTTAATTTACCGCGCAATACGAGCCGACGAACCCAAGTCACACCACACTCTGAAACGATCATAACACAAATTAATACTGAGGATATAAACAGGTTCGCTTACAAGAACGGAATTTAGTATATAAAATTTAAGGTCTGTACTGTCTGACGATATGTATTAATACAGGCTGTGTACTCAGACTGATCAATTGTTTCAATATAAATAAGTCACTTTTAAAGAAAAACATATAAAAATTTACAATTATTTTAAGTTAAATCAACATATCATATTTAATTATCTGTTCACATAACATTTCAATCGTCTAGATTTCCTATTTGAAACACTTCTTTGTGAAATCAATGAATATTTGTCCTATTATATCTTATTGTGTACAAATATAGTTGTAAGTGTAAATGGAACTAATATTTTCGGATATTTTGGTATGAAATGGAAAGTAACACGCAAAATATTAGTTTCATTAAATACTCGTGAGTCATATCACATTACCTGGATACGTAGTTTCTTTGACAACAGGTCGTAGTGCGGGCGCTGGCGAGGAGGGCGCTGACAGCACTACAAATGAATCCGTTAGGCTCGTGTCAGACTTACTGGGCCGAAGTCCGCTTTCTGGCACGTCCACTGATTGCGGGACTTCTACTGAACTCGTCTCACTAGAATCACCGATACTACCGCCACCTAGGAACAAATATTGAAATATAATATTTATTTAATGTTAATTAGAGATTGTTGAAAGATATATATCGTCTATCTTCTTCTAACTGGCAATTTCCCAGCTTTAGCCATTGTCTGCCTTACATGTTTAATAGTTTTGGCTAATTGTTTTTACAAACGGCCTGACATCAACACTCTTTGGGTTAATTAATCATTGATGTCCTTATAAAGTACATATGAATCTGAAAAATCATATTGGTACTTGCCCGGGCCCATATAATATATCGTCTATGTTATCTTAACACTGTAGTTACGTTATAGAGGCTTTTGAGTATATATGACAATATTAAATATAAGTTATAATAAAAATATAATATTTTTTTTTGATATGTATATTGCTGTTAGCCCTGCGATTTTTACAGAGTCACCATTGGAATTGGTCAGTGCCGGCCAGTAAATTATAAAAAATGTCAATATTGATATTTGCTTACTCTTCCGATATAATGGGTTCGCCTTTGATTTCCGTCTCAGCACCACGTTTCCTTGTTTCTGTAATTTATTCCTGTGAGTCAGATTGTCCTTATCGTCTTCGTAATCCTTCTCGTTGTTGTAATCTTCTGTAATTTCTTCGTTTTCTTTCTTCTCACAGTTTCCGTCTTCGTTGTCACTACACACATCTTTTTCGTCATCTCTCCGCGCTGATTCCTTAGCGCTTGTACCTCCAGCGTCTGATAGAGAACTCTCTGAACCCGACTTTGTTAAATTAACTGTAAAAATGTAAAAAACATATTAAAGAAGGAAATTTTATATGTAATGAGAGATTTTATCATTAAAAAGTATGAAACGAATTTTAGTGTTGCTTTAATTAGAAGGCTTTATGAAAAAGTATATAATATTTATGACTTAGATAAAACTTAATGTAAAATTTGTAAGCAACGGATTTGTTTTTAAATGGTTTTGGTGATGTATCTTTGACTTTTTATATTAATGATATTTGTTACATATATATTATATGTCTACTACCTTCATTTTCTCTGGACAAGCTCATTTGTTTGACGAGCTCCTCAACCCGTTTAATGGCCGCCTCTCGTTCACACGGTTCAATATCGTCGGATTTATCTTCAGATTTTACTTCACTGTCTGATCTCGTTTCCTCACTACCTTGGGACATTTGGCTAGTCTTCTGTTCTACTTCAAGTGAAGTAGACGCTCGGTCCGCACTATCACCTTCAGTGTCAGCTTCAATACTCTTAGCTTCATCTTCGGTCTTGGCCACGTAATCGATGGACCACATCTGTAAACCGTGATTTTGATACATTAGTTAATTTATTTGTTTTGGTCTTAAATGTAAACGTAATGCAATTACGATAATACACATTCTATGAGAGTTTGATCATCTCTATGAACCCAAAAGGCGATACGATTGAAATGTAAAAATTTTCTGCTTATAAACTAAAGTTTATAATCTTCATATAAAAATGTCTGTATAAGCAGCTTTAATTGTCAATGATAACAATCATCTTTTTTAAGTCATCCACGACACAAGCTCGCTTAGTGTGGACGACCCTGGAAATCGCGGCATGTTATCACTTCAGCAAAATATTGTTGTTTGTAATTGTGTTCCCTATTGACATTGAGTTATTGCTGGTAATAAAGTGTTTTTCATTTTCATTTTTCATTAAATACCTAATATGAAATGTTTAATAATATCGACAGTATAAAGAGACTATTAACAATATTAAAGATTATTATATTCTGACCCTAACAACTCCGTCAGTGGAGCCTGTGATGATGACATTCAAGGGGTCCCACTCCCTCGTCTGACTGAACGCGACGCACAGCACTTGAGGGGCGCGCTCCCCGCCCGCCTCTGAAGATCCTAGGGGCTCTCCATTGATAGACCATACATGTAGCCAACTACCGCTGCACGTCGCTATATCACCCTGTTAAAATATAACACAAATATATCTATATACAGTGTAAACTCTATATAACGACACTGAAGGGACTGTGCATTTTATGGCGTTATAGAGTTGTTGTTAAATAGAGAGAAGAAAAATCAGAATTAGAAAAAGACAAAGTTTATTTCAGAATAGTGTTAGTACTTATGTACATAACCAAAGTCAAATGATTTCGACGCTTAAGACTTTAGAGTTTGTCGTTAAATCGAATGACGTTACATGGAGTTTACACTGTATATGTACTTTATTAGAGGAAAATTAAACATAATTATTTATCCTTTGTAGATGTTCTATTCTTTTATAAAATCAGACACTTAATACCTATACTAAATTAGAATGCTTGGTAAATTATATTAAATATTTGCCGAATAGCATGGAAGACATAAATTTTATGTGACGTCAAAACTTAAATTTAAATAAATTATGACTTTATCGTTACGAGCATAGCCATAACGTCATATGCGGAATTCGAAATCTATTCACACATGTCCCTAAGTAGAACTCATTAAACTCCATACTGACAGTTAGATCGTCGATAGCGAGCGCGGACACAGGCGGGCAGGGCGCGGGTTGCGCGGGTACTAGCTGCCTCACGAAGGCTCCTCTCTCCACGTCCCACACTATCAGTTGTCCGTCCCTTGAGCCGCTCACTACTATGTTGTACGCGGGGCTCGCGGCCACACACGTCACTGCTTCTTCATGCCCGTATAAACACGTCTTTACTGATAAACGACGCCGGCGAGGCCAGTACTGCCATACGGTCACCACCTGGGGTTACATTTTAAACAAAATATTATAATAATTTCATTGTTTTATATATTTACTACTACATGACTCGGCTTGAGCATTTTAAGGAATTGGAACGCTGAGAAAAACTCTATATTTGGAATTTGAAATTCTATATTTGGAATCTATTTTAATTCAATCGCAGGTAAAACATAATTCAAAACTTCAGTACAACATAACATTACTGCTACTTTTTGAGATGTAAACATTTGCTAGCTGAGGTACAAACAGAACGAAAATTACCGTCACAAGTGAATTTATAAGTTACTAGCTTGAATAACATGTTTTAATAGAGAGATTTTTTATTGATCAATAGAACACTTGTAATGCGATAAAACGCGTTGATACTAAACTTGCCAATTTTAAAATTCATAGAATAATTAATTTACTCACGGTACTAGTCCCAGCGGTAACAATATTTTTTTCTGACAAACACACACAGGCCACTATCTCCCCGCAGGCTTGTGCAACAGACTCACAAACGAAGAGCGTCTTATCGTTGTCGTAATTTCCTATTCTCAGCGAATGATCCGCAAAACCCCAGGCCACGTACTTGTTGTATGAGGGAGGCATTAATACTTTATTTTGTTCGACGGCCAATATAGCTTTATCAGTGTATAGGATCTGGCCGACGGGACCTTTGACTTCTAGAAGAAAAAAAAAACATTTTGTTTTTAAATTTAGAGAAATCAATGTATGTATAAGACCTGGCCAATATGACCTTAAACTTCTTAAAAAAGTAAAAAAAAAAAATTACTTTTTGAGAAAGAGTATTTATGGGACCAAAAATGACATACCTTTAACAGGTTGCAATGACGGCCTCAAATTCTCAAGATTATGAAAGAATAATTTCTCCGGCGGAGTTATTCCCTGGGACGGTATAATATTATTTGGATCTAAAATGGTGGAGCTTCTTTGAGACATTTTCTTGCTCGGATGTGCTTTCTTGAACAGCTGCTTTGGAATCTGACCGAAGTTGTTTATGAAGCCAATAGTCGCGTTCTTCTTCAACGGATCGTCAATGCTGGTGAAAATAAGATTATTATATACATATATTATATTTTCATCCTTAAAATGGAAAAATCGAGTAACTTACTTGTATATATCTACGTTTCCTTCATAGAATAAGTGGTGGAAGACATTACACGCTTCAACAGCAGATGAACCTTGTTGTTTGTAACCAAAAACAAGGTCTATCCAATGATGCAATCTATGAGACACGTAATCTGATTCCAGGGCTGCTCGGTGAAGGCGAATGAACTCACGCGGATCACCCTTAGCCCACGGAGGAAGTACTACATCACCCAGAGACACCCCTGACTGCTTTGAACCTTTAACACATTAATATATGTTAGGAAATAATATTATTTATCTATACTAATATTACAAAGCTGAAGAGTTTGTTTGTTTGTTTGTTTGAAAGCGCTAATCTACGAAACTACTGGTTCGAATTGAATAATTCTTTTTGTGTTGGATAGTCCAGTTATCGAGGAAGGCTGTGGGCTATATAACATCACGATACGACCAATAGGAGCAAAAATATAGTGGTAAATGTGTAAAAAACGGGAGAAATTATTTCATCTTTGAAGCCTTCCGTTGCGTGCGCCGTGAAAACGGTTCAAGATACACAAAAAATATGTACTAAAGAATAATAGCTCTTTTAATGATCTAAAAAACAGTCCGCGACAGTATATGTCTATCTTTTAAGATTAACTCACAAAAACCGTTTTTATTGTACCTAATTTGGTCGAAATAATTTGTTTAAGTTGTTTCAACATAATAATATTAATCTTTATTCAAATAAACAAATAAATATGTTGTTGGTTAAGAGTACCTCATTGTGAATTAAAAAAAAATAGGTTTTATCCTGAAAATTCTACGGGAACTCGACCATTCCGAAAACCCCACAAGAACGGGAGCTATGTGGGAAAAAACAAAAATCTGCCGGAAGTCATTATTCCACGCGGACGAAGTCGCGGCAAAAGCTATATTTAATATCTGTTAATTGGGTATCAGTATGTGATACTTTGCTTTAAAATATATCAATTGTTAACTAAAAGTAGCGTTATGTTAAATATCGTGTTCTATAAATTACTGAAATTAAAGTGTTTAAAGAAACATATAATCTAATTGACTTGACTGAATTTCTTTATTAAAGAAGGTAATGTATTACCTAAATCGAAGTTGTTTGAATTGACCAAAAATTCAGGCAGGTAAAAGAACTCAGGTATAAGTTCCTTAACGTCGGCCATGTTGTGTCGAGAAGCTGAGTTCCAAGCTTCTTTGATCGAATGGAACATTCTGGAACAAAAAAATATATATATTGTGTACTAGTTATATATTAAGGGTGTGAAATAGAGAAATAGGTTTACCTGTCAGCTAAATCGAAATGTCCTCCTTGTAGTCGCAGAAAATGTTGTGTAAATGGTTCCATTCTCACGAGGTAGGAGCACACGATCATGGCTGATGAATAATGTGTTCCGTAGTGATAGGGAGGTGTTTCACCGTGAGGGTCGTCCCACTCCTGCAAACATTTTACATTACATTATATATATGTATTAACCAAGCTAATGTTTAAATGCTAATTCTTATTAAAATGGACGTTTCTAAAACGTAAAAAACTCATTTTTACATATTAATGTCTGTCTTCTTCTTGATTCAATGCAATCATTGAGTCGATTTAAATGTGACTATCATAGAAATATATACTATATCATAAAGTTAGCTTACAGAAAAAAAAAACTATAATTTCAGATTTGGGACAATAAATCTATAACCAGATTCTTTGAATCTTTTCACTGTATTATTATCACTAAATTAGTTTTAAAAAATCTGTATAAATTTTAATTTTGAATATCTTTTATATATTTTACCTTATATCTCTTCCTAAACTGTTCCAATCTGTCCGGGCTTTGTGCTCCCATAGGTTTAGTCAAGTCTCGGAAGGTAGCGGGGTGTGTGAGATCCAGTTCCAGGGAATCATAATCAGCTAGGATCCAGGGAAATACTGGGTACTGCATGAGGTCGTTGTACGAGCGACCGGCGAGTGTATTGAGATGCATCAGGTATTGGAAATTTGATATTTCACCTCTCTGAAAATAAAATCATGATATATTATTAAGTATATTAATGTATATATATGTCGGAGCGTCGACATTGAATTAGTTTAATGATAAACGTCATAAGTAATTTAGTCAATTTGTTTGATAAAAGGTTACCAAAAGTGAGGATGCCCATTATGCTTAAACACCCGTGAAAGGAAGTCCACAAGCCTAACCTATTGGCTCATAATCTATTGTCATCTTATTATTTGGATGTGATTTTAAATACAGTTGTAAAGAAATCGTGTTATTAGATATTGAACAGTAGAATTGTGTTTTTATTTGAGTTCGTTACCATGATCATGTTGGATATTAAAAGCCAAGACCGCCATGAGGCACCTTACTGACCCTCCTACCCTACTAATATTATAATTGCGAAAGTTTGTGAGTCTGTGTGTATGTTGGTTACTTCTTCACGCTCAAACGGCTGAACCGAATTTGATAAAATTTTGTATACAGGAAGCTGACGTCCAGGAATAACACATAGGCTTTACATCCCGGAAATTTCGGAAATCCCGCAAATTCGCGGGTAACACCGCGGGGCGCAGCTATTATACATATAATATGTATAGTAAGTACCGCTAAAGTATTTCAGTGTTGTATTTTCCTAGTAGTAATTTCCGAATAGTAATGTAGTCATACCAGCCATCGTTGTGTGACGGAGGTGTCTCCTATAAGTGATGCCAGCAGCCCGCCCGGTTGTTCAACAGCGACGCCTCTCTTCTGTCCCGCAACGGAGCCCGCCGCACTATCTGACATACCCGTCGCTAATGACGTGAAGCGACTGTACACCTGAACATAAATGGTATTTAAATTAAACTTATATTGACGGATTAATATGATTTATTATAAAACTACTTTACAGCAAAATGCTAAGTAACTGATAGGTTGGGAATATGTACTTATAAATAATAAAATAACGAGTAATTTGAAAATATTAGTTTCATTCAAATGAATACTCGCGAAAGTCTTAGATCTAATTAGATATAATGTTGTGTTCTACAGCTTTAAGTTTTTTGCAGACTAGTGCTGCACGTCTATGAAATGTTATTATAGATTTTTGCGATGATATTAAATGTCTATAAAATTATCTACATTTTATAAAGGCAAACAATTTTTATATATTTATTGTGTTTTAATGTATGTACTGGATTAGTAAAAAAATTATAAGTAGGAAACTATTGAAAAACTGATTTTAATATACAGGGTGACTGGTGAATTACTATCGATACTTGAGGACGTGATATTTGACGATCATATATGACAAAATAAAAATTAATATAACATAAATATTAATAAACTTCTGAGTAAAGTTAACCAAAAGTTATGTAATTAATTACACATCGTGTGAACACCCTACAGATTAGGTATACACTCACACACACATACGCGTGCGGCGGCGTAGTGTTGTATCAGCACGCCGCCGCACGCGTCCGCACTTGGAACACTTGGAACGTGTCAACACTTTATTTATTTATACGAAAATTTTGTCAAAAATTTAGTACCTATTTTTTTTTTACATAATTCGAATGAGAATCATGTACCGAGTATTCTCCTTAAATATTGATAGTAATTCACCAGTCACCCTGTATACTTATAGCTTTTTAACATATTTAGTTTTTTTTCAACAAATGCTTGTAAAAAAATAGTTTTACTTTTCACTAACCTTATTCCTGACTTTTCTTGGAAAAGCTAGTAAGTAATTTCTTCCGTCACTAGAAAACACCTCCAGAGCTATGGGTTGTAACAAATATCTCCTTTTATGAACCTCTCTGAAAAACAAACAAATACATACTTTTCATACAGATGAAATATAGAAAAAAATGCATTTTTTGTTGATAAAAATATTTAAGTTCATAGAAGTGTAAAATAAAATAGCAATATCATACGAATATTACAATTGCGAGAGTTTGTGAGGTTGTGCATTTTTGTTACTTCTTCACGCTCAAACGGCTGAACCGATTTTGATAAAATTTTGTATACAGGAAGCTCACGTCCAGGAACAACGTATAGGCTACTTTACATCCCGGAAATCCTGGAAATCCACGGGGAGCAGCTAGTTATAAATAAATTCCAAAATACCTAATATCTTCATATAGAAATTTGGAGCATTGTCTCTGGTTGCTCCTCTGTATTCCTTGGCTGGGCAGGATCGGCTCATAATCGTCGGGACAGCTGTCTAGGTCGCGTATCTCTCTGTTCTTGAGTAACGTGAAGCCGTCGATGACGTAACAATGTTCACGACCGAACAACAGGAGACCCTCTGTTGTGTCCAGGCCTTGGATACGGGCGCAGCGGAACATGTGGGATATCTACAACATAACAACAACAACATTATTTAAGTAATTTGACATTCATATGTTATATGTAATATCCTTAAAACATTAAAATTATACTTATTTTTTTATTATAATGATATATGTTTTCAAATTTATTTAGGTAGGTAGGAGCTTGGACAGTGCAGATGAGCGTTTCAGCGTGTTAGATAGGTACCCTTAAACCTACACCTAGGTCGCAAGTCCCAGGCACTGTTGAAGCTCCTCTCCCTGCAATTTATTTAATGCTGAGAATTTAAGTCTCATAAAGTTACCTTTTCATGATGTTCTAGTAATCGCAGCAAGGTCTGGTTGTCTGGCGGTGGTGATTGTTGTTCATCATCGTCTTCTACGTCCGGATCCTCGTTCGCTACATCATTAGAAGAATAAAGAAACTTAGTTAGTTAGTTAAAATTCTTAACTAAGTTCATAAATATATTAGTCATATGAATGTAATAATATATGAATGCAATGAATTCAATGTTGTTTACACCTGTAATGATTTATTCACCTAGATTTAATACCCTGTATCAACTGCTAAGTGAATGTGTTAGTGATAAGTCGATCGTGTAACTGTTTCTAATAAATAAATAAATAAATAAAATGTTCACCTTCTGCGGAGAGGTTTGTTCCTCTACTAACAACTCCACTGCTAACTAGATCCGAGGGAGATCCTTCCTCGTTCGTTACATCAATAGACACGTCTTTGCTTTAAAAAGGAAATACAATCACGTTATTGCTTCATACAAAAGTTATTAAGAGTCCAAGTAATATTGAAAAACATTGTATTTATTACAGTGCGTTTGATTTAAGCTTAGCTTTGCATTTGTATGAGTGCACACGGATAGTGTAGGTGTGATGTCAAATTTTTCAATGCCACGTTCTTTTCTAGTTTTGAACCGGTCTATATTACTTTTACTCCGCCCCGCACCTTCCTCATTTCACCCTTTGTACTGGTTGCAGCGTCAAATGTTGAAAACGCAATGTCAAGTGAAGAAGAATTTGTATAGTTTTTTCAAAATTTTTATTAGTTAATAATTTTTTTCCATAAAATTTCCATGTGGTCTTTTACGAGTTGTGATTATTTTATTTTTAATCTAGAATAGCTCTAGCACTTATGTTATGTATCTATTTAAAATATAGTAAAATTATTTCTAAAAGTTTTTTGTCTAACTCTCTTTTACTTTCACTCACACAATTGCAAAGTTCAGCTTAAGTCTAACGGACTATACCTTGTTATAATAATTGTTTATTATTTAATTCCTTACCTGGGTATTTCTTCTTCAAACGACTGTAGCTCCGTCGATTCAATAACCTCAGCCTCCGCCAGGTTGCTCGAGGTGCGCCACTGTTGATACACTCTATAGTATTCCTTGCTGTCACGGCTTTGAGCTACTTTGTACTTCAATTGTTTCTATAAAACAAACATTTAATTTAATAAAAGCAGTATCACATTGTCGTTCTCATTATCGATCGAGGTCTATTAAATGTTTTATTGAATATGATTCGTTTTAATATAATAAGTTATTACATTATCTGGTTTATCGAGGTCTGGTCTGTATGGATAGTGAGTATAGAAGGCGTGGTTCCGTCTTAATTGTTTCCTCATACGGCAGGGGCCCTCTGTACAGTGTAGGGCCCACTTGTCTAAGGGGGCGGGTTTGGGGGGGCCCCACAGTCCCCGCTCGCGAGTCAGTTCCCTCCAAGCGATGCTCCACTCCGCTTGAACGTATCGTGTAGTATGCGCGGATGTATTCCCAGCCGCTGTCAACTGAACGCCCCACGCTTGTCTGTAAATATATTGCTAGGAATATAAATGCGGGTATAACAATATATATGTTGGTAGTAAGTGTGAACCGTCTCAAAAGAAGTGTATTAAACTGGGAGTTATTAGTAAATTGTTTTATGGTGCACACTGCTCGAAGGCATTAAATAAACTTAACGTCTTCCATGTGCTTTGCTTATAATTACCTAAAAAAAACATTCTAATAAAACCCTTGCACTAACACACAATACTAGTCGCTTTCTAAACTTAAATTAAAATTAGCTTAATTGTTTAACAATATAAACAGCATCTTGTCTCTAATAAGTCAATAAAATGTTTATAATTCTTAATGTAATAGATAGGAATGTGATTTAGCATTAATTTAAAGGATATAGGAATTTTTCAAAGTGCGTTATGCATACCAAAGTCAGAGATAGCCAAAACTATTTATCAGTTTAAATTAAAATAAGACATGTAGTTTAATAATTTTAGAATTATTTTAGATACTTTAAGGCTTATGTTTATTGTTGGTGGTGGGATTATTATTAAGGGAACTATTGGACTGACATTTAGCTCTGCTAAAAAGTCCTTAAATAGAATCAGAAAAAAAAAATAGATAGGAAGGTGTTAATACTAATAATATTATTTGTATACCTCACTAGCTGTACATGGTCCTGCATGTACGCCAGCGCGTGTTCCCGCGGCGGGTGTGGTCGTTGTTTGGCGGAGTCCTCCTTCTTCACTTTAGTCCGTGACGCGAGCCGCGTGAGGCCGCCCGTCACCTTCTGGATCTTAGACTGTATCTGGTTATGTAACTCCCACGGGACGCGATATATCGCCTGGAATTATTTATTATAAATTAAAAAATATATCTCGATATGAAATGTGATTGGAACAAATATTAATTAAATCATTATTTATAAATATTTAATTGTGAAGTAATTATAGTTAAAATTAATTTATACGATTTATTTGAAAACATTTCTTTTTTATGTAAAACTATTTACCTAAGTCTTAAGATAAATTTTAAAAAATCTATTGATCTATTTTTTTAAGTAATTAATCTTTTCATATGTTGGCCAGTTTTTGTTTAATCGTGTTTATTTTTGGTAAAAAGAATATGTATTATTTATACTAATATTATAAAGCTACAGAGTTGGCTTGTTTGTTTGTACGCTCTAATCTCAGGAACCACTGGTCCGATTTGAATAATTCTTTCGATGTTAGATAGATCTTTTACTGATAAAGGCTATAAGCTATCCATAAAAAAAAATTAATAACATAATATGTAGTGTAATACATGAATGTGTAGTACAATTGTACCCTCGTTTTAGTACCTTTCGTTCAGCGTGTATATAGTTAGCCCACAGCCTGTGCGCGGCTTCTGATAGGTGGTCCCTAGCGGCTGCCAGGTCGGGCGCGCGTGCGTTCCCCGCGGGCGGCTGTAGCGTCACCTTGAACACTTCTTCGATGGCGGGTTTCTTACACGCGTACAGTTCCTCCCACACGCGACGGGCAGCACCCGCCATCAGGTTACGGCCTTATATAACATTTATATAGATATGTTCATATATCAATTCAATATATATCTTCTTCTACCTGGCAATTTCCCAGCTTAAGCCAGGGTCTGCCTTACACGCTGTGAATTGTTTTGGCTATTTGTTTTTACGACCGGGCCGCCTGCCTGACATCAACCCTCTTTTTGGGAATACACGTTTCGGTTACTTTGTAGAAACAATTACTACAAAGTGACAAGATGAAATAATTACTGCAAAGTGATGGAAACGTCGAGAGTATGTCATAAAATAATAATGATTAGTTTTGGTACATTTATAATCTATAGGGGACATCACTAGTTCGATGTCCTATCACTACTTGCGCACGCGTTCTGATTAGTCGCCCTTTTTGCCTCCCGGTTAAAATAGTGATATGGTGTGTAAAGCGTCTCTTAAAGTAAAATATGTAACAGTGCTTAATAAACATTATAACAATATTAAGTAGTTTTCCAACTGCAAGTTAACAATAATAAAGATAAGTAATCAGTAAATATGAGTTTAATATAAGTGGACCTTAATGAGATCTAAGATTTTCGCGAGTACTCATTTAAATGAAACTAATATTTTCGGATTTTACTTCGCTATTTATTTTTGATACTACATACTCCCGACGTTTCGGCTACTTTTTAGCAACCGTGATCACGTGATCTGAAAATATTAGTTTCATTCAAATGAGTACTCGCGAAAATCTTAGATCTCATTATATTAAGTAGTTTTCCTACTAAAAGTTAACAATAATAAATCGTAGTAATAAGTAAATATGTGTTTTATTTAATTATACCTTGATGCGCGGTCAGTTTATCATCCCTAGCCTCCAAGTCTCCGCTAGGGTTGACGTGCCAGGTAGTCCTCATGTGTGAGTCGAGCGCTATCTTCATGTTAGCGCTGAGCTGCAGCAGGCAGTACGTGAGGCACCCGATGAACTCCAATTCGTGGTTACCCGCGCCGAATATTAATAACCTTGAATATATAAATGATTTTTTAATATCACTTCTAAAAAATGTGTTAAGAAAGTATACTTTTTGAAGTGATCGTTTTTTTTATGGATTAATTCTTTAATAACATATTTTAAAATTAATCGCACATTAGATATTTTCTGAATTTTAATTATAGAAATGTTTCATACATCAATGAATCCATTAAATATCATACTTTGAACGTTGCTATTTGATTTTTATCATAAGTTATACAGGGTGACTGGTGAATTACTATCGATACTTGAGGACGTGATATTTGACGATCATATATGACAAAATAAAAATTAATATAACATAAATATTAATAAACTTCTAAGTAAAGTTAACCAAAAGTTATGTAATTAATTACGCATCGTGTGAACACCCTACAGATTAGGTATACACACACACTCACACATACGCGAGCGGGGCGTGGTGTTGTATCAGCACGCCGCCGCACGCGTCCACACTTGGAACACTTGGAACGTGTCAACACTTTACTTATTTATACGGAAATTATGTCAAAAATTAAGTGCCTATTTTTTTACATAATTCGAATGAGAATCATGTACCGAGTATTCTCCGAAAATATTGATAGTAATTCACCAGTCACCCTGTATACTTAAATGATATATACAGGGTGACTGGTGTATACCTAATCTGTAGGGTGTTCACACGATGCGTAATTAATTACATAACTTTTGGTTAACTTTACTTAGAAGTTTATTAATATTTATGTAATATTAATTTTTATTTTGTCATATATGATCGTCAAATATCACGTCCTCAAGTATCGATAGTAATTCACCAGTCACCCTGTATAAAATTTATCCCTACTAATATTATAAATGCCAAAGTAACTCTGTATGTCTGCCTGTCTGTAACGCTTTGACGCCTAAACCACTGAAATGATTTTAATGAAATTTGGTACAGAGATAGAGTTGACCTTGAGAAAGAACATAGGATAGTTTTTATCCCAGACTTTTGAAAGGTTCTCTTGGAAACGCGATATAAAAGAACTCCACGCGGGCGAAGCTGCGGGCGGAAAGCTATGTAGTATTCATATAAATTTATACCTGTTTGTGGTAAGTTTGTGTAACGCCTCCAACACTGACATTTGATCAGCTATAGATTCAGTGGATCGTGATAGTAGGAATAGTATGGTCCTGTTTAGACAATGATGCAGCCCTTCTAGAGATATTACAGAAGATTTCTTCTTGGCCTGTGTCACTAGCTTCACTAAGAAATCGAACACCTGGAAACAGAATATGTATGTAGACTTGGGAAGACAAAATAATATTTAATTATTAATAATTACCTCGTGAGGATCTTTAGACAGCTGTCCTTGCCACAGTTTGTCAACAAGTCTAGCGGCCAAATAGCAGACGTTGGATATATTTGACTCGGTACCGAATAGTTCAGTGTTAAGTAAATTTTCCATTATCGTCGTTAAAACTTCTGTTTGATATTCTATTTGCTGGTTAGTTGTAGAATTTGGAGGTGAAGCGTCTAGAACCAAGTCGATGACCTAAAATATATATGCGATTAATAATATTCCTATATAAAAAAATCTCATTATTTTTCGTTTCGTATTGCGTGCTATTAGTTGCTGAAACCTAGATGAAAATTAGATGGTTTATATAACAGGTTAAAGCTACATGCAGGAGATGTTAACTTATATTTACAATTGATAACAGTGAAAGTTGAATTCCAGAAATTAAGATCCCATTACTAAGTAGAAGAAACATTCCTGTATCCCCAAGGCGTTAGGTAAGCGTAAATGTTAGAATATAAACCAAATTCCGCATATTTACGCAATAAAAGTATGATCTCGAACAGGGGCTAGTTGGCGTACAAAACATTGACGGTGTCACTGCATCCGATACTGACGGCTAGAAACGATATGCGAACTATGATATTCATTGTAGTATTTAATACTCCTTTAATAATAACAATTATAATAAGCTTCCTACTTCTTGTAACATGCGTGTTATTGATACTTGTAATACATTTTAGTACAACGTCATATATGGGCCTCAATAAGCAAATATTTTAGTAAAACTCACAACAATAAATAAAGTAAAACCATATCATTTAATTTAACAACTCATAAATTTTGAGATTTTTTCAGTAGTTAAGATTAAAAAAAAATGAATTTTCTTATAAGAGATCTTATTTTATAATGTTAGTAGTGAAATATAATTTGTCCCTTTAAAATTCTCATCCACAAAAAGCATTAAGCTCCGTTTCACAAAAGATATCATTTAACCATATCTGAATAGCACAAGCCCTATATAAATCACAATCACACAATCCACTGGAATTTTCTTCAACAAATGAATACATCAACTCTTAGTACTCAAACCTTTGTTGAGATTTAATTTCTAAGCACATCCTGTATGCAACATATTTTTTTTTTCTAATAAAGTATACAATACTTTATTAAATTTACAATCTAGGCTAGATTGACTAATAAGTAAATGAATTTGACCTAAATTACTACATTAACATAATATGTTCTAAGAATGTGTCCAATAACACTTAGTACGTACTTAGTCTTTGTTAAGGAGAAGACACTTTGTTCATGTGTTCTTATAATGCAACATATAGCTTGTAAATCGTTATAACAACTCAGTTACCGGTGAGGTCTTAGCCGATACGTTGAGTGGTAGTGAGTCTAGTATGATCACTCTCAGGAAGTCCATGACTGCTTGTCGCGCCGGATGTGTTGTGAGGGAGCCGGCTACAACTACAACCTCCTCGGAGCCGGGGGTCGAAGCGCCTGAACTGTCGCCGCTTTCGCACGTCGCTGAAAAAAAACTTCACTATAAGCAAACTCTCAAAAACGCCTATATCGTTTATATATGAAAGGCTTCTAATTTATCACTAAAACGTCATATATGACACTTAACATCAACACTATGTAAATTAGTAATACACTAAGAACAGTTTGTAAATGGAATCGTTATTCGATAATAACATATAAGTCAGACATACAGGGTGACTGGTGAATTACTATCGATACTTGAGGACGAGATATTTGACGATCATATATGACAAAATAAAAATTAATATAACATAAATATTAATAAACTTCTAAGTAAAGTTAACCAAAAGTTATGTAATTAATTACGGATCGTGTGAACACCCTACAGATTAGGTATACACACACACACACACACGCGCGCGCGCCGGTGTGGTGTTATATCAGCACTCCGCCGCACACGTCCACACTTGGAACACTTGGAACGTGTCCACACTTTATTTATTTATACGGATATTTGATCAAAAATTAAGTACCTATTTTTTTTTACATAATTCGAATGAGAATCATGTACTGAGTATTCTCCTTAAATATTGATAGTAATTCACCAGTCACCCTGTATATAAGTCAGTGGTGGCCTAGTGATTAAAAGAGGAGGCAGGTTCGATCCTGGCCCGGGCAAGTACCGATGTGATTTTTCCGAATCATATGTACTTTCTAAGACTATTTAGACATCACTGATTAATGCTGATTCCCAAAAGAGGGTTGACGTCAGGCAGGCGGCCGGTCGTAAATACAAATAGCCAAAACTATTCACAACATGTAAGGCAGACCCTGGCTATAGCTGGGAAATTGCCAGGTAGAAGAAGGAATCGTTATTTGATATTTTTAAAGATCACTAACTAGTTTTAATTGATCAAATATTGGAATCAAAGGAATACTAACGTAGATGTATGTCGTCTGAAGTCTTGGGAGGGAAGAGAGTCGCGGCTAGTGCTGTTAATACATCAGCACCCATCATCAACGTCACGAAGTCTGGCAGTGTGTTGTATAGCGAAAAGAGAACCTGGAAATATAAAATAAAATATAACATTCATATTTAATGTATAATTATTTTAATGGATTGGCTGTCATTCTGCTTTAATCCTACTAATATTATAATTGCGAAAGTTTGTGAGTGTGTGTATGTTTGTTACTTCTTCACGCTCAAACGGCTGAACAATATTGATAAAATTTTGTATACAGGAAGCTCATATCCAGCAATAGCATATAGACTACTTTACATCCCATAAATCCGCGGGTAACACCGCGGGGCGCAGCTAGTACATAATAAATTAACCTATTACTTACTTGAATGATAGCTACAGGGTGATCGTTAAGCCATTCGGGAATTGTACCAGGTTCAGCGTGTATAAGCGCCCTTACAGCTGCTAGTAATATGACAACCGCTTCAGGGCAGAGTGTGATGCGAGCGGCCACCGCCGCTGAGGACTGCCGGGAAGGAGCCGCGGCCCCCCACGCCGCTGCCCATACACGCTCCACGGAAACTAAGCGATCGGGACCTATGTACCGCACCGGCTGGCCCAGGGTTAAACCGAACACTAAGTAATATAGCTCCGGGATTTGGAGGTGGGAGAGGCATAACCTGGAAACATATATATGTATGAGATGACTCTATAATCTATATACTGAGTATATAAGACTTTTCCGGAATTTACGTCAATATGGACCATATTTATTTGCAGTAATATATATTATCCGACTTAGCTACTTTTTTATAGTATTCCAAAGAAATCAAAGTATGAGGGTAGTTCTGAAATATTTTAACATGATTGATGATTGATGACGATGACCTAACCTAATCAAACAGTAATATATATTACCAAGCTAGCAGCGTGAAGCCCGAAGTGTAGAGTAGTTGTGAGTGTAGATGTGAGTGTGAGTGTACAGCGGTGGTGATCACTACACCGGCCTGCTGAGACGCAACCAGCTCCGTGTTGCGAAGCCAGCCGCCATTACCGGCGCCTTCACGGAATCTGATAGAAACAAATTATGTGATATTTATTAACTATATTTGATTATCATTTGGATTAATTATATCGTGTCATGCAGAATACTGACTGGAATGAAATCATTATTCCCTTTATTAATTTTTGTTTGACATTACTGAGGGTATGGCATCGCAACTATTTTCTCATTTAAACTACACGATTTACCATTGCTACTAAGATTATTAATATATTGATGTGGATACGAAACGAAAGGGGAAATTCTTTTTAAAATCAAGCATATGAAGAAACACTTTAGGCCATTTCAGCGTGGGATGTACCTATATTGTTTGGTTGTATGAGAGAATCAATCCTTGTTTTATATTATAAATGAACTATTTTAATCACAATTAAGATGAAAAAAAAGTTCAATTACAAAAAAAAAATTAATATTATTGTATTTTCTCTAGTTATTATTATATATACATTTCATATAACATTTTTACAGTACACATACCTCTGCATGATTGCCGATTGTTGTCCTTGTCCCGAACAGAGTATCACCAATATTCTCAAGGCCCATAGCACGCTGCTAGGATGAACGTTCTCTTGCATGAAGCACAACAACCAATCCATACCTAGAACTCTAGATATTTCCTCACAGACGATAGTATTCACCAGATTTCTTGTAGTAAACAGCAAGTTGTGTAGTACGCTTAGACATTTATTCCTTAATATGATCTGATCTCCTTCGCCTTCCTTATCAAAATCACCATCCTTGATTGTCACGCCCTGTTCTGATTGCGACGGTAACGGCAATGTAAACGCCATAAACTGACCAAGACATAGCAAATCACTCGGCCGCGGCTGACCACCTAATAAGGCAGCTAGCAAATTAATTAATACATTCTTTGTGCTCGGGACTTTCACGTCATTAACGATGTACAATAATTTAGGTACAAGTTGTAGCTCTCGCATTGTGCGTAGATTGTGCGTTCTATGTGCTGTCTCTGTTGCCAGCTCCAATAGATGTTCTAGAAGTGACTTTATCAAACCACCCGGCGCGCCCAACCATACTTCCAACTCGCAAATTAAATCCTGGAAACAAAAAAAGTTATAAGGAACTTTTAACATATTAATATTAAATTTTATATTATGTTACATACTTGAAATGCAGTCAAATTAGGTATTGAAGAAGTTTCTTTTTGGCTGTCAACTGTTCCGACGAGACCGAATATAAGGTGAAGTATGTGAGAATTTAGAAGTTGTTTTTTCCTCTTCAATAGCATTGCCAATGTCTGATATCCTTTCCGTCGGTCCATCTCAGCTTGCGCCGCTTTGTTACATCGAACCACACACACGAGCGCCTTGACGCCCGCGTACAAACACTCCACATCTTGAGCCATCGCTATCAGACCCAGCAACACTGAACACCCGCCGACTGTATCGATCTGTAAGTGAGGAAAGTATCTTCATGAATATTATGTACATAGAATTTTATATAAAGTAATCTTATTCATGTTTATTAAATTAAAATTTGATTTCTCATCTGAAGCTTTAGTTCGAAAACTTTATTCAAATATGTGAAGTTCAATCCATAAATTTTGTGTCAATTAAAAATATCCTAGGTTAAAAGTCCCAGAAGGAATGTTACTAAAGTTCTTCTATATCTATAGATATATTAGTATCTACTAATAGTAATCTACAGTAAGTATTATTTTTTTATATCCAATTGCATGTATTAATTATGAATATCCCACAAAAGAATTAACTTTGAGGTTTTCTCAAACTTCCATATTATTTTTAATTTATACTTCAGATTACTAAGAGGGAGTAATTTATTGTCTTATTATCTCTGTATTGTAATTTTCCAATCGCTATCTGGAGAGCACTTGACTTTCATCCCATCATATGTTAAGTGGAAATGAAGACATAGATATTAAATGTACTTACTATCCTAGTAAAAATCTATTCACCAATATAATTTTATATGAAACTCACCATAATAGCTGCTGGTTTTGGGCAGAACACTCTCACACCGAGATATCCAACGACGGTTCCTCCCAAACATCTGGCTGGGCCCATTAAGTGTCCCGCGGAGTTGTGCAAGATACGTATAGGAGTCGCGTTCTCGTGCGAAGACATTCCGAGCTGCTTCGCTATAGCTTTGTTGTCGTTCTTGCTGTAGACTTTCCTTATCTTGGCGAGAGTTAATTGCGACATCGCTCGAGCGTTTATTCCGAACACCACCTTCTCTTCAGCTATCAGTGGCGTCAAGGGATCCTGGTGTTGGCCCGGTAGTAGTGGCGCTTGTAGAGTACCGACGTAGTGCGGACCCAGTTGATATATTACTGAGATCGTTTGGGCAGGAAGCACCTTTAACACATCAAGTAAGTTAAATACGCACGGATTTTAAGTAATACATTTTTTTTATATATGGACGCAATATGATAGTTTTTTCAGCCTATTTAAAATAACGTACATTGACATAATTAACATACACATATAATATAACATATACATAATATATATTTTACATACTAATCTCATAAAAATTAGAAAATGTAATATAACTATAATTCCATCAAAACATTGATGCTGTATATATTTATATGAATGATTGTTTATAATAATCAAACAATTTACAATAGATATTCACGCAAGGGTCATTTCAAAGTTTACAATATAAAGTGTTATCGAGACGTTTATTTTTGAAGGTAGATCATTTAATAGCAGTCTTACATCTTCCATGAGTAACGCAGGTCCTTGTCTCCACACGAGTCTTGAGTATCGTCTCCACTGGGGCGGAGTCCCGACTACACAATACACACTGGAAGCTCCCGACAAGGTGGCTGCGCCCCCGCCGGGGTTCGCGCTCACATAGTGCAATTTACCACTGTGCATGTGCTGACCTAAGTACAGATAATGACTCCAATAAGATTCTTATATTACACAAAGTTATAAACATATATGTATTGCTGGGTTTATATGGGACTTATTGGTGATAGATAGCTACAATCACGTGAATTCGTATTATAAGGTAAAGATATTTTTGAATTGAAAATTGTATCTAAGCGCACGGCAGTGCGCCGGCCAAGTTCCACAGGCCGGCGCATGCCGTGCACTATATTTACACGAACCGTTTCGACCCACTTTTGACCCTCCTGTAGCTCAGTGCCTATTGCAAGTACAGAGATAAAATTTTACCTATGTAATCATATACTAGTACTAAAGCAGTATGCCAAATTTCGTAGATAAAGCTTCAGTAGATCCTGAAATATGACCCTGTGAAAATAGCTAATTTTGGCACTGACTCACTGACAGGTAATCAAAACCTCTAGGCCACTTCCCATTGTTTTAGCATTATGAAATTTGGTACACAGGTTGTGTGTTATATGTAGATTAACAAAAAATTAAGAAATTTAAGAAATCGGTCAAGCGTGAGTTGCCTCAATTCTAAATATCGAATTTTTAATAAATTCGACCCACTTTTGACCCCCTGTAGCTCAGTGTCTATTGCAAGTACAGAGATAAAATTGTACGTACGTAATCATATACTAGTCCTAAAGCAGTATGCCAAATTTCATAGATAAAGCTTCAGAAGATCCTGAAATATGACCCTGTGAAAATAGCTAATTTTGGCACTGACTCACTGACAGGTAATCAAAACCTTTATATAGGCGCTCAGCTCAGCACAATAAAATACATAATAATGAAATATTAATAATATGAGTACACATCGGTGATAAATGAAACTAAAAAATAAAAAAATATATATAGTTTAAAAAAAAAAACTAAAAAACACGCTCCAATGATGAAAGAAACCGCGTGGAAACTAATTTAACCTTTACAACCTTGGAAATAAATTTAATTTAAATTGTTTAAAATAAACAATAAATGGTATTATTGAAAAAAAAGCGTGGGGCGCTTCTCAAGAAGTGATATATGAAGCTCCCAACGCTTGTTTTCACAAAAATACCATTTATTGTTTGTTAATTTATTTTTAAATTAATATTATTGTGAAAAAAGTGTGGGGCGCTTCTTAAGAACTGATATATATATATATATATATATATAAGGGATATAAAATATTGTGATTTATACATAATGCACACTGTATAACTTAATTAAATATTGCTTACCTAAAAATCAGGTTTCTATTGTTATAAATTACTTTCGATAGATGGCGCTAGCGGTATAATTGAATCGCGATATTGTTTTGTCTGCAGTATATATGAATGAAAGTCGATAAGGAATCGATGGTCATTTCTTTCTATTTCTTTCTACACTTATGTCTTGATATCTTATATATGGTTACGATTACGATTAAATGGATCACTGATTTGACTTGTTAAAGGATTAATTTTGATATTGCTTATTGATTGATTACTTGTGTGTGTTAAAAGCACAAATTCACTCTATTTCTTTTCTACTATTCATTTACCAACAATGGAAATTGTACATCATTCGGTGGTTGGCGGAGATATACCACATAGGGTAATTCCTATGCCATCAGATGGTAGCTGTATGTTTCATGCTGTAAGTTATGCATTGTACGGCTGTATAGTACGATTGTATGTACGATTTCTTGAAAAAAAGTATTGAAATCTCATCAAAAACATGCCTGTTAAAAAGGGGGCCAAGTTCCAATCGGCTAATTGTTTGCCTAAAAAAGGGGTGAAATCCAATCTAATGCCAAGTTTAGATGCACTTTGAAATCGATCATAATCATCTTCATCAACAGCATGATTAATTTAATTATTTAAATTATATAATATTTAAATTATATAAATATAAATAATTATATAACTAAATAATAAATTAATGATACAATTAATTAAGTGTTAAGAACAGCACAAAAACCTGCCAAGTTCAAATTGAGAAGTATTATAATTTTAGATATTTTTAACCAAGCACCTACGTATTTTCACAACTATACCATATTTTAAGTTGGGTGTATGGTAAAGTGAATTTCGGTCAGATGGACCGTTGACGTGAATAAGGTGGCGGGTAGTGGCTGGATGTGGAAGGCAGAGGACTGGGTGTGGTGGCGAGTCTTGGGAATGGCAAATGTTTACCAGTGGATGTTGCTGTTGATGAAGATGATTATGATCGATTTCAAAGTGCATCTAAACTTGGCATTAGATTGGATTTCACCCCTTTTTTAGGCAAACAATTAGCCGATTGGAACTTGGCCCCCTTTTTAACAGGCATGTTTTTGGTGAGATATAAATTAACACGTATGTTCTGATACTGTACCAACATTCTCAACTATTGTGATTTCTGATATAAATAAATACATATACACGAATCGATGACCATATTGTACAATGTACATATAGTAAGTACCGAATAATAATTATCATATTTTCTGGTCATTACTAACATACCATCAAGATACAAAGAGAAAGATGAGTTCTTGAGTACAGCTCGGTTGAACAACAAGGCCAGGTGATGCCACTGTCCCTCGTGCTGCAGGTCGGGACACCACACGCGGGCCCCGCACTCACCGGTACCCTCGGGCTCCCATTCACCTACATCTGACAAATAATAATATTAATATTATTATCATATATAGTATTCTCATTACAAAGTTGTATATAGAAGATTTGGATTTTTTATCATTTATTAACACCTATTTGCACATATATAGTATGTTATTGCAATGTCATCAGCCTATCAGAAGTTGTATTACATTTACAGGATACTTATATAGTATGTAATTCTCTATACAAAGTTTTATATAGAAGATTTGGCTTTTTAACATTTATTTACAACCGATTTACACATATGTAGTATGTAATTGCCATGTCATCAGCCTATCAGCTCACTAGTGAGCAAATGCAACTTTCTCACACGGAGAAGGTTTGAGCATTAATCACCACGCTTGCTCGAGACGGGTTAGTGATTATGTTTAGAAAGTTTTATATAGAAAATTTGGATTTTTATCATTTATTTACAACCGATTTACACATATGTAGTATGTTATTGCCATGTCATCAGCCTATCAGCTCACTAGTGAGCAAATGCCACTTTCTCACACGGAGAAGGTTTGAGCATTAATCACCACGCTTGCTCGAGACGGGTTAGTGATTATGTTTAGAAAGTTTTATATAGAAAATTTGGATTTTTATCATTTATTTACAACCGATTTACACATATGTAGTATGTTATTGCCATGTCATCAGCCTATCAGCTCACTAGTGAGCAAATGCCACTTTCTCACACGGAGAAGGTTTGAGCATTAATCACCACGCTTGCTCGAGACGGGTTGGTGATTATGTTTAGAAAGTTTTATATAGAAGTTTTGGATTTTGATGAGTACAGCCTACTTGCAACGTATGTAATTCTGTATACAAAATTTTATATAGAAGATTTTGTTATTTTACTAATATGTACTAACTGTGTGGTACTAGTGTTTCCTGTGTAGACACAATGATGGCTTTGTCTCTCGCAGACAGAACTACGGTGAGGCAAACCAGGTGTTCGTCCCTAGTGTTGTTGATGTTCCTCACTAACGTCAACAGTCTGACGCAGTGTGGATCAGTTCGAGGGTCGGAGTACTTCTCCACGCATATCCAGGTGGAATAAGTTAGTCCTGTCTGCGGTGGAAACACTCTGTCGCCTGGAATAAATTTTATTATTTACTTTTTTTTTAAATTGATTACATTATTGACAGAAAATTGAAGATCTATGATATAAAAACTATGCATTTCGTTATATCACTTATGATAATAACTTTAATCTATAACAAACTAGCTTTCCGCCCGCATCTTCGCCCGGGTGGAGTTCGGTTATATCGCGTTTCCAAAAGAACCTTTCAAAAGTCGTGGATAAAAACTATCCTATGTTCTTTCTCAATGTCAACTTTATGTCTGTACCAAATTTCATTAAAATCAGTTCAGTGGTTTAGGCGTCAAAGCGTTACAGACAGACAGAGTTACTTTCGCATTTATAATATTAGCAGGGGATGTCTTGTTTTTTGTCATACAAAGTGTTAATATGGGCCTCCTTTTATTACCTGAGCCGATTCCACCAAGTGTAGCCGTATCTTGAGTGCCGAGAGCATTCAAATTAGCGGACTGTGGAGCGATGCTCGGTAAGTACAGACAACCAAATCCTTCAGCAGACATATCGAACTCAACGAATGGAGGTAGTGTGCAGGAATTTTGGGACCTGTAAGTATATAAATTTATATACTAATTAAATTGTTTTTTTTTCTACATATATTAAGTTAAAAAGCTAGCGCTACAGTTTCAAAACTATCACGGAACTAAGTAGAAAGTGGATAAATTTATTTTGTTGTATTCTTTTTCTTGCTTTCATAGCCCATATCTAAAAATATATCTTTCGATGTATTCACTCAATATAAATTTATAAAACTTTCAAACAACGTTTTCATAATCAATTGCATTCGGCGATTTGCTTTTTCTTGCACATACGTAAACTAATATACAAATAAAACTCGGATATTATAACACTAGTAATAAGATAGTTATCTTCAATTCGTATCGGAATCCGTTACTTTTAATAATTTAAGTTTAAATTAAAGCCTAATTAAAAAGCTTCTTAGTTGTTTACAAAGTTCTACATATTAAGACAAAAATGTTGTTGTAACTATTTTTCAAAGTTATTATAAACTAGCTGGGCCCCGCACTGGTACCCGCGGATTTCCGGGATGTAAAGTATCCTATGTGTTATTCCTGGATTTCAGCTTCCTGTACACAAAATTTTATCAAAATCGGTTCAGCAATTTGAGCGTGAAAAAGTAACAAACATACACACACACTCACAAACTTTCGCAATTATAATTTTAGTAGGATACCTATAGTCCCTCGGTGTGGTCATTGAAACCAATGTTTTGATTCTCGTGAGTGGAACAGGTCCTCCAGGCTGCCAAGCCTGCCCCGGTTCGGGCGCCAGACAATTCAAAGGATTTCCCATACGCAAAAATTCCCTGTAAAATACAAATAATGTAAGGTAGATTGTATTTTTATTTGTAATAGCTCCTGGTCTATGAACGTATGTGAGACCATTTTTTGTGTTATCGCTTGTATGAATTTAGAATATAACTTAGTTATAAGAATATTGTAAATTTATGTCTACCATCCTTTTTTACTATACTTATAAATAAACTTAACTAAACGTAAAACTTTTCATATTATTTTTATTTTTCATATAAATTTATGGACAACAAACGGATTTCTGCCATAGCTGAAACTCAAGTGAAATTTTTTATGGCGAGGGAAAATTTCAGATATTTGAAAATATATTAAGAACTGCCTCAAAACTATGCAGGTTTAAAATCAGTCGAGATAGTAGCGTAGTCGTAGCGTGATGTTATATAGCCCACAGCCTTCCTCGATAACTGGACTATCCAACACAAAAAGAATTATTCAATTCGAACCAGTAGTTTCGGAGATTAGCGCTTTCAAACAAACAAACTCTTCAGCTTTATAATATTAGTATAGATAAATCTATCAACTACCTACGAGCCACGAAAGTTAATGAAAAATGGAATATCCAGCGAAGAAACAAACATTATTATCATTATTATTAATTGAAAAAACAAACAAGGAAAACAAAATAACTTGGTTGTGTATACATAATCTGCGAGATATTTTTAGCTATCATAAAACTCTTTATTAATACGAATAACAAACCTTTTTTTAGTTAAATTTTAATTATTCACACACATTCCCTTTGCAATTATTTTAATTTTAGCATCAAACGATATTATTGAAAATGTCCTCCTAATTAGTTTCGTTAAACACACATCACTAGTACAGAGGTCACAGCTATAATATGTTTGTAAATAATTTGTTTTCAAATTCACTAATTAGCTAATTAAAATCTATTCACTTGCGCTTAGAAAGACAATAATAACAAAATGGCGGAAAACAATTTGAATGGTATACCGATAAATCAAAGTTAAGGAAGTAGTGCCTACATGCATAGTTTTTGCACACACATGCAAATGTCCCTGCATATAACACGAAACTTGTAGATGGTGTTGTGATTATTCGTATCGAAAATAAGCACCGAGTAGTTGTGCATACGGCCGTTTTGGCTGGGAAGCGGAGCTAGTGGCTAGCAGCGGCCGATCGAAAATGCTAGTTTTTATGTTATTTATATGTAATATTATGTTATAGATGACATTTTTAACAATTTTGCCAAACCGTTTATCAAATAACATTTTAAATATCTGTAAGCATTCGTATTCCGTCTTGCATGTTAAAACGTATGTAAGTAAGAAGTGAACAGTATTGGTTTAGTTGTTATATAGGTAGGGTGCAGTACTTATTTGTATCTATGGTGTGCAAGCCACTGACTCTAACCAATGTAGGTTACAGGACCCTATAGCATTTAGGCTTTAAACACTTTATAAATTGTACTTATAATAAGGTCAATTTTGGCGATTTATACAATAACGTACTAATTCTTATCATCAACATATTTTAAAACAAATTACCCCGCTGTTTCTGTCTGTATTAATGTTTCTCGAGAACTAAAGTAAGAACCGATTTTACGTACAACATTAGAGTCTTCTTCTTCTACCTGGCAATATCCCAGTTTTTTTAGAGAGTGTATATATAATTACCTAAGTTCAGTAGGTCTCATGTGATGAGCCGCGAGTCTCTCTAACACGTACATGGCGGGCGCGTGTAGTGCGTGTTTTTCGTGACGTAGGGCCGCGCCGCAAACACGGAGTACCGCGCCCGCTAGGCCTGCGCCGCACATCACTTGCTGGTTACGTTCACTGTGAAAATAATACATATTGTTAGAATAATTAGGGTTTATTTTCTGCATTTAGAAAGGACACATTATAAATATTATAAAAGTGAAGATAGATTTCAATACAAGTGATTGGTTAGTTAGCTTTCGTACGTAAAAGTCTTCGTTGTGTAACATTCCATTTATCTAATGGCTGTTTTTCAATTGCGAATGTTGATATAATACTATTATTTGTTCTTAAATTCAAGGTTTAATTAATAACATAACATTAATCATTGCAATTGGTATCACTCAGTTGCTTTTTTTAATAATTTGGATTTTAAACCGAAATATATATACATATATTACAAATAACGTATCGAGGCATAGGTATATACGATCAAAGTATTTAAATTGATGCATCGTTCCAAACGTGCCATATTAAACGCCATAGTTCCCACTTGGTCGTCTTATAACAAGAACGAATAATTTGGTAGTCGGTCATTTGACATGACGTTTAATAATGCGTTGTTAATTGGTCATCGTGGGACGTAAATATTTTAACGGACATTTATAAATTTGTAGGTTGGTTAGAAAGTGCTGGGTTTAGATTAAACAAACATTGATTGGTGAAACTGGGTATAAATCTGTCTGTTTTCACGATTTTAAGGCACAAATATAAAATCTAGGCCCCAAAAAGACCAACGTTTATAAATTCAAGTAAAAAAAATATAGATAATTTAGGTCCTTATTGGCAAAAACTTAATCACCTTCTAACAAGACTCTTGAGTACGTGTGCCAAGTAGTCCCTGACCGCTCGTGCGTGTGCCTCGTGTTGTGTCGGTCTGGGCAGGGCTGGCAGCAGACGGGCCAGGGTTATCACCACGCCGGCGTGAACCACCCACGCCTCGCCAGGGCTGCCACCCGACAGGTTTAGAGGAGCCGTGCGACCTGGCGGCTTCACCTGATATAAACATGAATATAGTAAGACATGAGACACTGGTGCCCTAGTGTTTAAAAGGCCCGCCTCTCATGCATGAGGGCGCGGGTTCGATCCTGGCAAGTACCAATGTGATTTTTCCGAGTCATATGTACTTTCTAAACGTATTTAGACATAACTGATTAATGCATTCCCAAAGAGGATTGATGTGAGACATGACAGTTTATTATTAGTAGGTATAGTCAATATTAATTCTATCTCCAAATATATAATGTATATGAAGAGTAGGAAAGACTATGAATAAAAACTTTTTGCTAAAGCGATAATAATATCATTTTGGTTTAAAATATACATCAATCCTTATACATATATTTCTGTTTTAGATTAACCTGATCAATTTTGATTTGAATTTTATGGTCAATTAATTTTTATAAAATTTAATAGTACATAGTACATAGTTTTATAATGGAATATCATTTTTTTGAAAATCTTTCTTTTGCATATGTATTACGAAATCAAACAGTTGATGAACCTCATTAACAGCTGAGCTCTGTCTTGTTAGGCTCGGAGACTTGACGTTCAATGAACCACAGAAGGAAGGCTTGTCGAACGAATCCAACGCCACGTCATACAGCAGTCTTAAGACGATACAAGCGTGAATAAACACCACTGGCACATTCTCAGGAAACCTATAACATACAAAAACATTATTATTACTAATATATGTTCAGTCTTTTTTATTTCACACTCTTATATATTAGCGTTTAGATCGCGTTTCCAAGAGAACCTTTCAAAAGTCTGGAATAAAAGCTATCCTATGTTCTTTCTCAAGGTCAACTCTATGTCTGTACCAAATTTCATTAAAATCAGTTCAGTAGTTTAGGCGTGAAAGCGTAACAGACAGACAGACAGACTGATAGACAGAGTTACTTTCGCATTTATAATATTAGTAGGGATTTTTGGATATTACACAGAATGCTATTACACATATTTATTATTTTATTTGAGTTTAACACTATACTGTGCGACTTAGGTCATTTATCCACAGAGAAGATCTCGGCAACCAAATGTTCGATCGATTCGAGATTTTTTTAGTTCGATAGACCAGTTATCTGGACGTTTTGTGAAAAAAATTAGATCGAACCACCAAATTCAATTGTAGGGTCAAAAAACGGTTCTTTGCCAAAACGCTGAGATAACTTCACTGAACTTGCACCGAAAGTTTTTTTGAAGTCAAATGAGAAAAATGCGATGGTACATCTATTAGTTTAACATTTTTACTCGACGTTTCTTTTATGTACATAGCAACTGGGATCACGAGTAGACAAATGTCGAAAGAAAATGTGAAAAAAAATATAAATATCCGTAGTATTTAAATACATACGATATAAATAAACCTAAAATATAAGTATAACGTAGATTTATATAAATGTATAGTCTCGAAAACCTTATAGGTCCAATTAGAAATTCTCACGAAGATGAGAATATTTCATAATTTAAAAAAAATATCATTCAATAGATTTATAATAGATTTATTTAAGTTAATATATTATATGTGGCAACGACGATGCGTCGCAAATGTAATTAAAAGTTTGTTTCATTTATTCATATAAAAATTTTTCTTGCTTTGCACTTCATCATTATAGATGGTGTTTACTCTATATAATAAATATCATAATATATGTACTGTTGACGACTAGTGGACACAATTTTTAACTATATGCTGCTATGTATGTAATATGTCTTCATACATAGAAATTACTAATAAATAACTAATTTATAGTATAATTATATTATAGTCGATAATAATTAATTATTACAATACTAACGTCATCTCTAGTATGTTTCCGGTGAAGATCTCATGAAACACTTCATATAACTCCGGGTCGCCTTGTTCCGTGTCGTGTAATAATTCCTTATCTTCTGTAAAGCAACCCAGCAAACGTATGGTCTCGTACAATGTGCTATTGCATATCTGAAAAAAAATGAGTTAACTATAAATAAGAATGTAATATATAATTTATCAAATATAGGTTAAAATTGTGGTATATAGCGGCATTTTATTATAATCAGATATTTTATGTAGAATGGAACATAAGCTGTTTTCGGATTGGTCTAATAGGAATAGTTTAAGTCACATAGTATCAATGAGGGAGATATATTTAAAATTAAACTTAATACATAAAAGAGGTGAATTAATTTCAATTATTGTTATTCTAATATTGGTCCACTTCTTTGAATCCACAACAGTTTATTCCAATAACCATCGTAAGTTGGACCGTCATCATTTAATACCTTCCAACGTTCCATAGACCTATAAATAAGGGTCATTAAAATATAATATCTTACCTCGTGATGGAAAAATTTAGCATTAGCCGGTTCAAATCTCATGGCGATGCTGATGGTGTAGAACACTATGTGTAACAGCTGTAGCATATCGCGGTCCATTAATTCCCCTCCTAGCTTACCCTCGAGCGACACTAACACACTCGTCACATACACGAATCCGGAAACCTGAAATTATATAAATATATATATGTATTAAAATTTTATACTTTGCATATGTTCGCAGCTTGTTAGAATACGCATGCACAATTTGGTCACCGCAGTACAAAATTTATAAAGACAGACTTGAAAGCATTCAAATAAAATTTATGGAATTTCTTAGTTACAAAAACCATAAAATATTTAATAGCTATACTGAGGCTTGCCGTCATTATCACACGCATTCGTTAGAGACGCGTCGCAAGCACTATGATATGATGATGCTTTATTCACTTCTGTCAAACGAAATAGACTGCAACGAACTGTTATCTTTGGTACAATTCCAAGTACCAAATCGACGTACTCGTCGGACAAAATTATTTGATACCCCGGCGATGAGCACAAAATACGGAAGCAACTGCTTAGTAAATCGTTTAGCCACTACCTATACCGACTTGTTTTCTCACTTAGACATATTCAATATGAAGAAATTAGAATTTAAAAAGGCTTTAAAAGAACAAGTGACATCTTAATTTATTATTAAAACACACAAATGCATACACACTTACCTACACACGCACACGCTCACACCCACACACACACATTCGCTCACACACGAACAGTCTTGCTAATTAGATTAGTGATCCATTATTTATTAATGCTTAAGTTACGTTTATGTTTATACTTTTATTTTAACTATGTAATCCTGTATTGGTCTTAGTATTGTTTAGTTATACTTTATCATGTCATTATTATAAGCACTGTTAGATTACCGAAATAAATAAATATATACTAGTTATTACCCGCGACTTAATCCGCGTTAATTTCGGAATTAGTAGTATATGTATTGATAATATACCTGACCGGGCGAATTCTATTCCGCCCTAGAGGCCATAAATAACCAGATATTGGAATTTATTATTATTTTATTGGATTGACTAAAATTAAATATCCTATGTCCGTCTCCTGGTTCTAAGCTAACTGCCCGCCAATTTTCAACAATATCCCTACAGCTGTTCCTGAGTTATAAATAGTATAACTAACACAACTTTCTTATATATATATAGATATAGAATCAAAAGATAGTTATTATCAAAACTCAAAATACAAAATTTTTGATTATATAGAATCTACAGTATACTTGCAAACATATGATTAAAACTTTAAATCAAATAGAAATCAATTTTGAGAGACTGCAAAAAAGTATGAAAAATTGTTAGAAAATCGATCCCCAGGAGATTTTATTTTATTATATTATTACCTTTCTGAATATGGTCCTCGTGCGATGTGAGTCTCTCAGACAAACGAGCAGAGCTTTAAGTATATGTAATTTCAACCTCAAAGCGTCGTTTGGAGCCGCGTGCATACCACACAATAGTGCCGCCATGTCTTCTTCACCGGAGCCGCTCACTATTAATTCTCTTATAACGCCTGAAATTATGAAGAACATTATAAAAGGAATTTCATACTCAAATGTTGCAAGGAGAGATCGACAAATCCGTACAAATGCACACAAACTCGCAAAAATGGAATAAAATGTATGTCCAAAGCTTGTATAATATTAATTGAATACAGAAAATATTAGCAGAAAAAAATTCAAGTTTTTAGTTGAAAACAAAAACTCACCTAACGCTTTATTCCTACACGATTCATACACAACCATTCCATGCACGCACTTAGCGCCGCCGCAGTCTCTGAACACATTACAGTTGTTCACGTTTCCGTTTAATAGAGCCGTCAGTCCTTCCATCACTAGTGAGCCAGCTTCTTCCTCCTCATCATCAGTATTCGGATCCTTTATCAATGAATCCTGTCTCGATTGCCTTTTTTTTCTCTCAGGAGCTTTTGGAGATCCATTAGAACTATTTTCGCCTTCCCCTTTAGACTTTTCCTCTTCTAAAATCTGTTTGTCCTTCAGAAAAGCTGCATACCTCGACAGGCAAGTCACGAATACTTCCAGCATACCGACTTCCCGATACACGTCTTTGAAAATAACGTTATGCCTGGAAATTCATATATTATTAGATATATATGTAAATAGACCATATGCTATTATTTAATATATATAATCTTACTTTAATACGTTCAGTAGCGTCTTGATGCATAAAATGCTGCAGCTTCTCGATCTATTAGCTTTCAACAGCAGAGATAGCGATATCAATTCCTTGCAAGGAACAAAATTTAACTGGAACACAATAAACTCCAGTAATTCAAAGAACTTCTCTTGGATTTCGGCGTTCTTCGTGTAAATTCTCTCCGAAAATTGACTGAGTGTGTTCTGGTTCTCCAGGATGAAGTAATTAGCGTTATCCGCGTGATACACGCTTGAAATCGCATCAAGAATGGTACAGCAGAGAGCCGGGGAATTAGATTTCATGAATACGGATTGTAGGACCTGAAAATATATATAAGGTTAATAAAGCAGGTGCCAAAAACATTTGAGTGTATAGAATATATGTGAAAGCTTTTAATGGTTAAAAAATTTATGTCAGTTTATTACTAAACACAAACAGAGAAAAAAGAAGAAGCTACTGTAGAAACTACTATTCTTAATATTCATATGACATCTGAAAAGTACATTTGGACAGAAATATCATAAAATTTGATATAGATAATGTTTCTAAATGAAAGTAATTTCATACAAGCTTGTAAGTATATACATAGGGTCATCAGATAAGTTATCCTTACAAGGTATAAGCCTTTTATCTGATATAAAATTATAAATATCTAATCCTAAGTGTACTTGAAACAAATTATATATGACAATCAAATTTCATCTGCCAATCTGCCAAACAAAACAATATAGTGTTGTTATCCAAAAAATATGTTCATTAGTTTCATTTAAATGAATACTAGCGAAAGTATTAGATTTCAACTATATCCGAGTATCTGGAGTATTATCTCACCTGGAAGGCCTGCACATTCCTGACAGCTTGTCCAGGTGTAGTCGGCTGCGGTAACACGAATCCTTGCAGCTGGAACAACTCAGTATTAGCTCGAGTGGGACGCAGCTCGGTGAAGCCGCACGAGCATAAGGAAGATATCATCAGCACCAGGTTCCTTAAAGCAGCACGAGCCTCTGTGCCGCTCACACGCTCTTCTTCTAACCTGGATAGACAACATTCAAGTTAAAAATTTAATATGGATATAAGCTGGAAAAAAAATATGGCAAGATCACTGTATTATACAGGGTGACTGGTGAATTACTATCCATATTTAAGGAGCATACTCGGTACATGATTCTCATTCGAATTATGTAAAAAAAATAGGTACTTAATTTTGACCAAATTTCCGTATAAATAAATAAAGTGTGGACACGTTCCAAGTGTTCCAAGTGTGGACGCGTGCTGATACAACACCACGCCACCACACGCGTGTGTGTGTGTGTGTACCTAATCTGTAGGGTGTTCACACGATGCGTAATTAATTACATAACTTTTGGCTAACTTTACTTAGCAGTTTATTAATATTTATGTTATATTAATTTTTATTTTGTCATATATGATCGTCAAATATCACGTCCTCAAGTATCGATAGTAATTCACCAGTCACCCTGTATATCATCGGCAGAAAATTTATAAAGGGATACCTATTAACTTAGTAATATATCAAAATAACATAAATATTTATATTTATAAGCATGTTGGACTCAGCTATAATCATAACTGGTGAATATATACAGACAAAGCTGCGAGAAACAGCTAGTTTGATTGACATTATAATAGTTTAAATTTTTTAATACTGTTGTGTAACTTCGTTCATTAATGATATTTATCACATAACCATACATTTGCTAAAAAAAAACTATAACTTTTAACTAAATCTTGAAAAATATAACATACAATTTCGATTTAAACTACAAATTATTTAAAACTACATATATACATACAATGGAATTTAAAAAATGGGCAATAAAATAATTTGTGCTAGATAAAAGAATGGGAAAATATACTAAATTGCAAATATTTTTTTATAAGGCAAAACTCTCATATAATAGTTACCATATACACTACAATAAGAAACAAAAAACTGTGCTCACCCTGAGGTCAGATAATCAGGTACCTCTTGCCTCTCATGTCTGTGGTAATAACAAATATAAAAATATAAAGAAAAATCTACAACAAAATAATTTAAAAACTAAGCAAAACAATAACGTCCAAGCGATATAATTACAGATATACGTGCAACTATATACAAAAGATTAGTTAAAAAAACACATACTTGAGAAGAAACTCAGATAGGAATAAATATCCCTGGCATGATCGGAAATCATCCAACAATAATTGACTAACTTCACTTGAGTCTTTTAAAAAACAAAACACAGCCACAAACATTTCAACCACCTGAAAAAAAATTAAATAATAAAAAACATAAGTATATGTAAAAACAAAACATTCAGAAAAAAATATTATATATAGAGAATAAGTAACATTTTTTTGCACAAATTGCATAACTATTCATAAGAAATACTCACTTCTAATGGGGTTAGTTCAGGAATCCTTTGCATATTATCAATACATAGTCCAACGCAACCCTTGTCTGAAAAATAAATAGAAAACTAAATCATTGAAATATTGTAAATTACATAATTGTAAACAAATGTGGAAGTTAAAATTACTTTTACATAAAAAAATTATGATTTATTTATGTACTAACACACTTTAAAAATATATCCATGTATTTTATGATGTTTTAACTACAAATTATTGTTATACAATTGTATAGAAACATTTCTGAGATCCATATAATATATCTCATTAATATATTTATTTTTATTTGCATACAAGTTTACTGAGAGTGTGTTAATGAAACACTCAGGATAATATTTTCTTAAAGACATATCATAAAAGTAAAATAATAAATATACAAGGAAAGAGAATACGAGTATATAATTCTAAACATAATCTGTAAAATAACATTATTTTTAGAGGAAACAATTTCTTATATAATTCTTTATTATTATAAACAATATAAATAAATATTCCTTACTATGAATGTACTGAACAACAGATTGTGTTAAACCATGTCGAGACAGTGTCATTAAGACCTCAGCTGCCGACTTCCTCCACATGATGTTGTATGGAGCACACCATGATGTTATAGCTGAGAAAAGTAAACTCAAGTCATCCTTCCTCGCTAACTCCTCACAAGGGAATGGATGACTGCAAAGTCTGACTAGAACCTGAAAAATAAGGTAAATTAAGGAAAAATCAAATAAATTTGTTTTCTGTTTAAAGCTTAATTATTTCCAATAATTTGGTTAGGTAATAAAGAGAACTTGGATGATGGAAATGAGCATTTGACATGCATTAGATAGAAGCCTCTTAAACCTACACCTGGATCGTAACTTCCAAGTGTAGGTTAAAGCTCCTCTCCCTGCATTCCATTACTGAGAAGTTTCATCTCTGAATTTTAATTTTTTTTAATGTTTGTAAAAAATATTATGAAATTTTACTTTTACTAAAACTGTTTTTTAACATTTTTAACTTTGTGTTTTCATATTGTCTATCAATAGTTACATGAATGTAAAAACAAAATGTTGAGAAATATAATTGTATTTAAAGATGTATTTGTAAGTCTTTGATGAATAAAATTTTTGAAGTTCTATTTGTGTCTTTTGAAAAAATGTATAGTATGTATACATTCAATTTTACAAATACTGTAAATAAAATATATACTTGGACAAATATCTTCTGTAAGAGTATTCTTCTCTCTCGTGGTGTAAATTCACTATTATCATCTTGAATATCAGCTTCCGATTCAGGTATTTCCGGCAGATCAAAGAAAAGGTACAAACATTTGACTAGTGTTGATGGTATAGCTGCAGTTGTCATGACCTAAAAGTATTTACTAATTACTATATACATTCTCTTGCAAAGAATTATTTAACAAAAATATCTCTATTGAATAAATTCTCTTGCCAAACAATTATTTAACAAAAATATCTCTTGAATTGAACCATACCGTTGTCAAATCAAAGTTGATTTAATTATTAACTTTACAAGCAACATCTTTATGTGTAATATTTTGTTCTTAACCTGTATAAGTGACTGATCTCCAGCAGCCAATAGATTTAATGTTGATAGTAACATCCATCCATTGCTGGATTCTTCCGAGTTTTCAATTTCTAGAAATTTAGCTATAGCACAACTAGCAGCCTCAGTGCTTTGATTACTGGCTCTCTTCCTTATTTCAGATACCATCAATTTTGAAACTTGTTGACAAAATGATAATATGTCCCAAAATTTTTCATTCATTTCACTAGATGGACTTGTGCCAAAGACCTGAATTATTTAGGAAATATTTTTTTTAAATCAAATACTACTCACTTATGTATATAGTTTTAAAAGAATATAACTTATTTAATCAATATTATGTATAAGTAAAGGTGTATAGAAAATTATTGACAATTTCTTGTAATAGGTAATGTAATAATAAAGTCTTGAAAACTCCTATATAAGTGAGAAAATCTATGTATACTGTAAAATTTATTATATACCTTACAAAAAAGAGGTAGCATGTTATACAGTTTGTCATCTTTTTCTGCATCTGTAAGAGGCTGTGGAGGATGAGTGTATTCTGCAAACAGCTTTTTGAGGTGCATCAGACCAAGTTGAATGTGCGAAGACGAGCCTGAGGACTCCGCAGGCTCCGCGGACGTCGAGGCGGAAGCCCCACGCAATTTGCGCATCAGGTTCATTTTAAATTAATAGCAGCCACCTACCAAAACATCTTTACATAACCGCAACAAAACTAGGCACTTGTCGTACCTTTTATTTTTATTTTTTATTACATCTTCCATAAATTACAAATGATCGTGCGAAACACAAAAACATTTTAAAGCCATAATTAGGCATCACATTTTCGATTAAATGTAGTCTGATTTTTTCATAAATATTATTAAATAGAAACAAAAAGATTTTGTATTCATTCAATGATTATTATATATTTTTTACAAATTATATTCCACAATACACCCACAGTAGTTTTCTTTCAATTGAGCACTAGGGTTGTGACTGTATTCTGAAATTATATCACTTGTTATTATAGTATTGACAACCAAAACTCATATACATTGTTTTTTTAATAAAAATATAATTTTCAAAAGTGAGAAATTTAATACAATTGTATATGTCTATGTATAGTTTTAGAATTATATAAAAAATTAAAGATTTATCGATATTTTTAGTCTATTATAAATAAAAATGTCAAATTTATATGTCATTGTCATTTAAAGAGATTTCAAAGTAAATTGTGAAGTTTCGATTATGAAGTTTTATGGAATGTGATTTAAGGTTTTTCATCTGAAGAATAATTGTTTTAACTGAAAAAAGTATAACGAGATATTATACGAGTACACCATGCCAGAAGACAAAAATTTAGTACAGTGTTACAATCGAGGATGTGGTCAACTTTTTGATCCGAAAAATAACGATAAAGGTAAATCCAAGAACTTTTTTTCTAGAAACTTACCGTCTATGAATAACCAAAAGCTTTTGTATGAAAAGTTCATATAATGTGAAAAACGTGTAATTCTTGATAATTATTTATTGTTACAGTGATGTTTATTATGTTAAATATAATTTTTAAATGAAATTCTAATACATACTAGAGAATTAAAATCATTGTTACAGATGTATGTTGCCATCACCCTGGTGCTCCAGTTTTTCACGATGCTTACAAAGGATGGTCCTGTTGCAACAAGAAAAGTGTTGACTTCACAGAGTTTCTCAACATCAAAGGCTGCACATTATCTAAACATTCAAATGTGGTAATACATCTTATAATATTAATATATAATTTTTCCTGGTGATAATATCGAAGCCGCAGTGCTAACTGCAATATACTAAATATATATATGATGAAATATATGTTAAATTTACTAACATTTTTTATATCAATGAATTAACCACTTTTAATAATTTTAGAAACCTCCAGAACCTGAGAAGAATAGTTTAGATAAAGAACTAGAAAAAAAAGAAGTTATTGAAGTAAGAGCCCCAATAGTTGGACCCAAGTTGGACAGACCTCCGTTTGAAACACAATTAGTTACTTTAGAACCCCGAATAGCAGATACCCTTAAGGAAGCAGTTCATAAAGCTAAGGAGAATGTGGCTGCATCAAATGATGGGTAATACTAACTATAACATAATATTTGGTATACTATTTAACAAGTAATTCATTGACAAACAAACATACAGTAGCAAGAAAAGCCTATATTTTGTATTATAATATTGTTTTTTGGATTAGGTAGCAATATAATAATTAATTTCCGAGAACTTAACATACAGCAAACCAAACAACATAACTAACACATTCCTAATTATTTAATTAAAATGTTTCAATTCTGTACATATAAATCATATATGAATTGTATGTGTAATTACAGAACAATAGCTATTGGCACTGCATGTAAGAATGGAGGCTGTAACATGTCTTATGAAGGGCCTCACAGTGACAACACCATATGTACATACCATCCCGGCTGCCCTGTTTTTCACGAGGGACTGAAGTTCTGGACCTGCTGCCAGAAAAGGACAACGGACTTTAACACATTTTTAAACCAACCAGGATGCACTACTGGCACTCATAAATGGTTAAAAGAGGTATATATATGTGTGTGTGTGTGTGTGTGCTTGGTGGCTATTGAAGAAATATAATTTATAATAGAGGTATAAGTGAATGTGTTTGAGTGTATGTGTGTGGGTGTGTGTTTGTAGTCTTATATTGAACAGATATAATGTTTAATTGAATTAAAAATAAATTGTATGCCCTCTTATTAATGTATAAATGATTTTATTAATGTTGAAAAACAGTTTCTTATATTCCTATAATATTGTTTATTGCTTAGAATGTGTAGTGTAGTAATAAATTATTAAATTCTTTCCAGAGTGCTCCAGCAGGAACAGTGAAATGTCGTTGGGACTGGCATCAAACTCCGGAATATGTTATTGTCAGTGTGTATGCCAAGAAGTATGATCCATTCACAAGTTATGTAAAACTGAACCCTATTCGCTTAAACACAAAGTTAGTTTTTCAACAAGAAGGAAATGCTGTGTTCGAACTGGATCTAGAATTACGAGGAGTAGGTTATATTTCAAATCTACTTAATATATTATACTAGCTTTCCGCCCGCAGTTTCGCCCGCGTGGAATTCAGTTATATCGCGTTTCCAAGAGAATTTTTCAAAAGTCTGAGATAAAAACTATCCTATATTCTTTCTCAAGGTCAACTCTAGGTCTGTACCCAATTTCATTAAAATCAGTTCAGTGGTTTAGGCGTGAAAGCGTAACAGACAGACAGAGTTACTTTCGCATTTATAATATTAGTAGGGATGAAATGACTTTTTTATTTAACTATATTATTTTTCAGGTAGTGGATGTGAGTAAAAGTACTGTATCAATGTTGGGTACAAAGGTCGAGATCAAATTAAAGAAAGCAGAGCCAGGTGCCTGGGCTAAGTTGGATTTTCCAAGGAAGGAGTCCAAAGAAGAAATTCAGAAGCCAGTAGTTCAAACGGTTGAGGAAGATGATTCAGTTGATCTATCTATGGTCGAATCCATTCAGAGTATAGGAAATGTTAACGTAACAGATTCATAAAGAAGCTCTCCGAAGAATAATGAACTAATTAATTTAGTTTTTATATTTTCTCGATGTTATGTAAGAAATGTTGTGGTCAAATAAATTGCTTCTTCCTTAAAGACTTTTCAATAATACCATCATGTTATTTTAAATGCCTTTTAATAGAGATCAATAAATTCTATTCATCATATTTACATTAAGATACATGGTGAATGAAATAAATTACTTGCACATCAAGGTATTGACATCAAAATTAAACCAATCAGCACCTGTTAATAGATATGTAAGTTTTTTCCATATATTTAAGTTTTCAACATGTCAAAATACAAAATATGCATATATAAGTTTTACACAGAACAACATTAAAACTATAACAACTTGACTAGTTTAAGATCTAATAGCGTTTTGTTTTACATAAATCTTGCATTACATTAATGTTTTGTATACATCTATTTGTGTCATTAGTGTGTAAGTACCTTTAAAATAAGGTATAGAAGGCAGAGACCAACGTTTTTCTGAATATTTCCCACCTCATATTGAACCTCCTTTATAGTAACATTGTATTATATAATTAAAAATAAATTATTAAATATCATAACTCTAATGTGCTCTTAGAGATATCCGTAAAATATTTACAGAATTGTTGATAATAATCATTAACTTATAATAAATACAAAACTAATAGCAACACTATTAAATATTTATATAACATGACTAGATCAAGACTAGATTTCAGGAGTGATTTCGTAACTTAAAATTATCTTTTATATTATTTTATATTTCCTTTATAAGCTTCTCTAAATAAGTTATATGTATGTAGTGTGACTAGCAAAAAAAAGCAATAAAAGTGACTAGACGTTACAACACCATTCATAATAAAAAAAAGTCTTCCAAACAAAAATGTACATATAAATTTTACATAGAACACAAAATTTAAGGCGCAGACATAAATTTAAGGCGAAGAACAGTTCGGTGGTTGGAAGGCTGGTACCGGCGTCGGCGCTGGCTGCATGCGATACATATCATGAAGAAGAGTCGCCACGGACACGTCGCCAACTGTCTCCCGAAACAGAAGTGACTCTATAGAACGAGCTCTGACAGCACGTAGAGATGGCAGTAGGAGAAGTAGTCGGCCGAATCTAAGAACACGAATTATTTATATAGAAAAGCAGCATAATAAAAATGTGTGCGTCAATATGGGCATATATTGATTGTACTTTTACACCTTTGAATTACATCAAAAATGTTTTGAATTAAGTCAGATTCAAACGTCATGAAAAATTTTAGTTGATTACGTAATTAATGTAAGTCTTTTCGATTTGTTCCCTCGAGATCGTTTTCACTGACAACAAAATTAAAACTCATTTTAAACGTTCAACGTGTCTAATATAAGAAATTTAATATAACTTATACCTACTTCTATACAAAAAAATTAAAAGATTCTATCTTTGGATACTATTAATCAGCACTACATAAATGATAAAGTAAAGATGTGCTTTAAAGGAAAATAATGTTAATCTCCAACAGTTTTACTATGCATATATAAAGATGATGACATCGTTATATACATATATGTACATATAAATCATGATATTAAATATTTATAAAGTACAATGTACATATGTATGTATGTTATATGTTGATATGTTCCTGACATTAAAATATTATATGAACAATCTAGATTTGAATACTTTCAATGTCTTTTGAAGAAAATTTCAGAATTTTATACCTGGTAGGCTGACGGGTGTATCTCGTCCTTACGTAATCGGCCAGAATACACTGAGCCTGATCTTGCAGCATCTCCACTGGCTGTGTTTCGCTTAGACCTGGCGTGTCTGAGATATATAAATGCACTTATTAAAATACAAGTTTAGAAGCCATTGTTTAAATTTATTTTAATTAAATTGTCTATATTTAAAATTAGGTGCCCGTTACACTGAAACGCTTTCATTTGTATGAAATATGATACGATTGCTTATGAATCGAAAACTGTTTTCACCTAACACGTACACATATATTACTTTTCTTTGTATTCATTGAATAAAAAAAATATTACAATCCTTAATATGTAGTGCATTCTATACAGAAAAATAGGCTTTTACACTTGAGTAAAAGTATTGAATATCTAAATAGGAAGACGACTGGTTTTTAAATATTTTGGGGAAAATGTCATTATTCACATTACATAATATTTATATACACAATGTATATATAGGTACGTAATATAATTAACAATCGTTAATTACACATTGAGAAGTTTTTTTTAAGAAGGTGTATAAAATTGCAATAAGCTTTTTTCACAACATTAAAAATAGTATTAAAAAAAGGAAATTTTCTTAAGTCGTTACTTTTATTTATCTATTGTTCAGAGTTTTTTCTGTAATTGTGAATACTGCGATTTATAGTCGATTCTCTAAGACTATGTTATGTAATAATTAATTATCAATAACTCTTACCCGGTGAAAAAAGAACAATAGCCTTCATACAGCCGCACTCACTGCCGTCGGGAGCAATTTGTCGGAATCTACAAAGAATTTCCTGTAAAATAAAGATCAAAACTGTATACACGAAGTATAAAAGTATAAATGTAAATAAATTCAAGAAATTTGGCCTTATAAAATTGTGGGAACCGCATACTATGATACAGGCCTAGCCTAGTGTGGACATCAACGTTTACTATATATTGCATTGTAAAATGAATAAATGTTTGTTTTAAACTTTTTATTGTTTTAAGTACTTCATATACATATATATAAAATATAAATATATATTTTTTATAGAATTTCTACATGAAACTGATGCACGGCTAATAGCATTTCCATTCCGATATGATAAATCCAAATAAACCTATAGATTTTTTAATTCACTTTCTCGAGTCAAACTGAATTAGCAAGGCGAACGAGATATTAATGTCCCGAAATGACAAATTCAAATCAATATCGATACTGTTTAGTTTTTTGTTTATTTCAACGTTACTTTTATTTTAACACTGAACATTTCTACACTAAACAAGTCTTAATAGACAAACTGGCTGATTAATTGGCTAATTGGCGGAATAAATCTCTACCTTTATGTCACGAAGAATTTCATATTACCAATAAGATATACACTCACAAGTCTCACACATCCCTTCCGGCCCCACCAAGGCCGGTGGGACGGCTCGTAAAAAGAGTTTCCCTGCGTAATCAAAACAAAATACCTGTAGTGTATTAAGTTCGAGATCAACCAACGGGTCCGAGGGTAGTCTAGCTCTGGCAGCGGGGGCCGCTAGCAGAGGCGCGAGGTCCCATGGCGCGGACCACTGTGCGAGATGCAACACGAACAGGTCCTTCCAGGCAGCACGCAGCAATACAGCCTGATCTGATGCTGCTAACGCTTGGAATGGAGCCAAACATCTGACCCATCGCACCGCCATGAATAGAAGACGCGCGCTTGTTTCCTAAATAGATATGATATTGTGCATTTTTTAACAATAATAATGTAATAAAGTAAATGAATCTAATATTTTCGGATTACTATGCTTATTTTATTGTTAAAAAACTACCGCGATCACGGGTCTCCCTATGATCATGGTTGCTGTAAAGTAACCGAAATGTTGGTAGTATGTACGTATAGTTTTAAAAATAATAAAATAATCCTTATTAATCCGAAAATATTAGTTCCCTTCAAATGAATACTCGCGAAAGTCTTAGGTAGATCTCATTACTTTAACAAAGACTAAGTTATCTACGGTAAATTCGTAATACTGGGAATTTATTGCCTGTGCGATAAATGTATGCAGTTCCGATGACTTTGTGTGATCTTAATTTCATTTTAGGTTAAACTGATGAAAATCAATGAAACTTTACTTAATAACACGTTGAAATATGAATTTTGTACCTATTTCATATGATCATATTCAGGGGAGCAGTTGTAGTAATTGCTTCTAGTTGAGGTCAATCGTACTTTTCACGCGTTAAAGTGAAATAAAACCGCTGTATGTATGAAGTTTTATATGTTTATTGTCGTAGGCGTAACAAAGTCAACATAGAGCCGCGACTAGTAGGCGGGGTAAGTCAAGTAAAAGCGAAAAGTCACCCTTCGACCGCCCAATAGACACTCGGAACCCGCCCTACAGTCAAAAAGGCACCTACCGTAGTCAATACCTACTGTATCAATGATAACTTTACGTCACATTTTAGTTAGTAAGCCAAATACACCGTGTTTGCTAAACAAACTCATAAAAAATGCTCATATTGGATGAAAAAACTGTCACAATTGGTTAACTTATTCAAATAAAACTAATATTTTCTCGTCTGACGAGATATCGGTCGGCCCGTGATCACGGTTGCTATAAAGTAACTGAAACGTCGGGAGTATGTAGATTATAATCAAAAATAAAAATCGCGTAGTAAATGCGAAAATATTAGGTTCATTTAAATGAATACTCGCGAAAATCTTAGATCTCATTATCGTTAACTGATTCTATTGTATTTGATATTTCTTTAATAAAAGTTGTTTAAACAATGTATATATGATTGTCTTTTGAGTTAAATATTTTTATAAACCTGTAATAACTCCCAGGTTGGTGCTAGGGGCGCTCCGAAAGCATTCGGCGGAGGTCGTAACAGAGAAGGGTCGCCTTGTAGTTGTAATTGTTTCGCACTCCATATTAATTCCTGAGAAAATTAAAGGATTAGTATCGTTACAAGAAAACATTAAAGATTGTCATACTGTATGCTTAACAAACTTTAGAATATAATAGAGTCTGTGTCATTGTTTTCATTGGACTACAAAAACTTAGTGTCTTAATTTTCTTATTAATGATAATAAAATAATTCTTCGTGAGAATTGCAATTCTATTTTTGTATCCGTTAAGTAAATTTTAACCTTATCTACCTATTATTACAGTATAGTTTAAATAGCGATATAATTTAGAGGATTTTGATAAGTTAAGAGTATTAGGCATACTTGGCATTTATCGCTGGACATGAGCATATGCAAGAGGCCTGGTGGAGGAGGTGCTATGAACTGTTCCGTGATGAGAGGCAGAGGACTCACTGCCCCAGCACCTCCCGCACCGCTGGAGCCAGCTGATGAAGCAGTACTGAGAGGCGCGGAGTCAGCGATGCCGTTTATACTAAACTGGAGATACATATACTTGATCATGTATTCGCTTAATAATTTTAGCATATTTTGCCGCAAAACCAAACGTAATTATTGGTCTATCAAATAAAATATATGATAGATATATTAGTTTTGAAGAATTTAACTTATTTTTCATAATAATTGTTACAGTTTTAGTAAACTACTTAGTACTAAAGGCTGCTACACCAAGTCTTTATAGTAGGTAAATTAGTGATCGAATGCCGACAAGCAATAAAATGTATTATAGCTGACAGAACATACCATATCTTGTTCATAACATCTACTATATATATCGACAAGTCTAAATATAATTCTAAGTCTAAAATGTATATTAATAATATACGAACCTGGAAATTGAAAGGCTGTGGTATAGGTGTGTAGGGCGATGGAGGCGACAGTTTGAGAGCGTGGGGCTTGTGTGTATGGGCATGTGGGGGCGGCAGTGACCCCAGGACACTCGGGTGGGGCTTCGGCTTCCGAGGACCCCGCTCGTGCTGAACAGCTAATACAAATAATCGTTTACACGTTTTTATTGACCTTTCTCAGGTATCTAAAATAACGAGAAATAATTACAATAGTTACTAAAGCAGATCATAATTGGATTAATTCTTTTTGCTATTTATATTTTTATGTACACATATTTGATAATCATCATTAAACTTTGTATTACGGTTCTTTGGTTTTACACACGATTGGGCTAATAGGTATATGTACCAACTATAAATGTTTATATTTGTCTTGGTCTAGCCGGTGAAACAAAGTATGTATACCTATAAAAACATTTGAGAGATATTCACAATAAGTAACACATCATTATAACTGTATCTTATTGTTATTTATGAGTTAGTTTAACGTAATTAAAATTAATACAGACACATTTTATTTTCACTTGTTCGTCACACCACGGTACACCAGTCCACAAACATATAATATTAATCCAGCAAAAAGTTTTTGTTTCAATTGATATATAACCTTTTTGTTAATAGCAATATACATTTAAATTGAAAGGTTAAAATTCATCGACTGCAGGTAACTTCGCGTTGTTAAACATGGCGGATTATACACAACGAACCGCTTATACGAAGCCGATCACCGATCCCCAGTAAGCCAGGATCATGACGCCCGTAATCTATACGATGTGATGGGATAAATTCACGGCTACATCAATATTCATAACATAATGTGTACATTCGAAAAACTACTCTCATATAAATAAGCCAGCGAATTCGAATGTTTTATAGTTCAATTCAAACGAGATTAGCGCAGATCAAAGACGCCATTAATAGTTAAATAGTGGATCATTGTGCATCGGGGCTGGAGTAATGACGTCACGCAATCAGCTTACCAAGCCCGAGTCTATGGGAATGTGGCTATTGTGATCGCACATGCTATGCCCATACGTTAGTTCCCGCGCTATAACGGCTTAAAGTGAAAATTTTAGTAGTAATGGACATTGTCCGCACTAGTAATGATATGGATTCGAGTTTGAGATGAGAATTTGCTTGTCACAAGTTATATAGGCGTTACTAGATTTTAATGTTATCACTTAAGATTGATTAATGGAATCTTGTTCTTCACTGAACTGATAGTAAGGCTCTATATATAGTATTTTGCTAAGAGTAATACATATAAGCTGTGTCGCACACAAAATAAATCACTGACAAAATTTAATTGAAGTAAATTTAAGGTTAATTAATTGATTTTAAAAATAATACGAATTTTCTTTGGAATTATTTGTAGTGGTGTAATGTGTAGAGATTTGATTAATACTATAATAATACAATAAAAAGTAATTTTCAATAGTAATTAAAAGACAAAGTTATGTTAAAAACAAAAGTAGAACTAAAGTTATTGTAAATTTGTTAGCCGATCGAAACAAATACACGCAAGTGTAGCAAATGTTAACCTTTGTTTATAGGGCGAATGTAATCCCAAATAGAACACGTGCTTTTTTCTCGGCTTCTTCCCTACACTTCCCTACTTTAATATAAGAAAATGAACTCTATTTTATACTAATATAGTCTATATTCCATCGTTCATTGTATCTAAAGGGATATTCAAGCCAAGGGGCTTAGTTACAGTGTGACGCGGATAAGCGAGATTTTAATTATGTGTTGGAAATTTTAAATTAAGTTCCTTTTGGAAATTATTAATGTATTTCAAATTTTTTAATCGCAAAAATGTATTGATTGATATCGGTTTAAATTTTTAGTTGGTCACAAAATAACCAGACATGACAAAAAACAAAATCCTTGACTAAGCTGTATAATTTGTATTTGTGATTTCTATATGAAAATCAAGAAAATAGTATTAGTCTATTCTACTATATTTAAAAGTCTATTTTGCTTTAATAGTAATGATGAAAATATTAATGTCTTATACATTTATAGTACAGAATCATAAAGTACCTACTCTTTACAGTAACTCAAATCTTGTAAACTTCTTTACAGAGGCGCTTTCAGAATCACATTTACAACCGTTTAAAGGGAGATTTAACTTCAAACATCTATCAGCCAAACCCCGTATTCTAACGAATTGAAAGCAAACAAGCGATATTTTTCCAAAATGTACGGCTGTTACAAAAATTACACTCTGCTACATTTTGTTTTGCCCACAGGCTAAGCGACGCTGTGTTTTTAAAAGTTAATTACTATTGTCCCTTTTTACTATTGCCTAATATTTTTTTTTGTTTTTTTAGTTTGAAAACAGACAATGAAAACATTTTGGTACATCATCCACGATAATTTTACATATTCGGTCTGTAGTTTATATAATTCATTTAATTTTATGTCATCATTCCGAGTTCAATATGGTTTTCTGTGGAAAACGGACTATCTTTATGCGCTTCAACAATATTGGTATCAAATGGAAGGTCTTCTTAAGATATCATATACATTCATACCAGTCTAAATTCAATACTGTGGATTTTAATGAGTAAAAAAATATTTTAAAGAAGGTATTTATTTTGGATGATGATGTGTGGTTACCTTTATGACATTTATTATATTTATTTTATCATTGTTATTTCAACATCTTGGCAAGTCATTTTTATACCTTTATACAATATATATATCAAAGGTAAGGTTTCGCAACAATGTATGAAATTAAAATCACCATTCACCGTATTATGTGATGCTCGCACTGTAGTCAATAGTACAATAGTAAAATTCTACAAGGCCTACTGTCGGTCATATCGTTGTATATCTAGCATATAAGCTATTCGCTGCTGATCAAGCATACGTGGTCTTTGGTGGTGGTTTGATCTTTGTGGTGATTCGATGTAATCATAAGAAAGTGTTCTTATTAAAAAACTAAATCTTTGTAAATGAAATCCATATTGTTCCAAATTAATCGGCAAATAATGTTGAAAAGATTGAGAAATACCAACGTACAGAAATGACTAAAAGGTCAAAAACAAATTAAAAAAACTTTCATAAATTTTACCTTTTACTAGAAAGTGCTACGATTTTTTTTTCAAATTTTTACTTAGGACATCACTTCATAATTTGTACAATATATTGATTTAAATGAAAAAAAATTAAACATCGTTGAATAAGTAGGTACTCACATCATTGTCACAGCAAGCTTATATCTGGCATAAGTAATATGCTGAAAAATATTGTTCTTGAAAATGATTTTTAGACTTTTTTTTTCAATAAACTAAACGATTAAAATGTCTAAAAAGTATCAATCGCTTAGGTTTTCTCCAAATAGCACTCAACATTATAAGTTAAACCGTTAAATCAATAAAAACTTTGAAACAAGTATTCCAAAATTCCAATGTGAATAAACTCTAATATAAATAAAAAAGAAAGGATAACAAAATATATTTACGAGTATGTAAACTGTACTTTACTTTAAGTACTTTGGTAAAAGCAATGTCGTAGATGCATTTATAACTAAGTAATGTAATAAATATCCTTATATACAATAGTTATGTAAGTAAGCTCTCTACAATTCTTCCTTTATGGACTTAGATCAGTGCACAGATGTACAAAGCGTATGTAGGACCCACTCCAGATTCAAGTGGGAGGAAGGTGGTGTAACTATGTATCTTAGACTCAGCCGCTCGGAAATGGAGTTCTGCGGTCGATAGCGTAGTGATGGAACAAAATTATCGATATTTTACGAATAAATATATCGAGCTACTGTCTGATGAGTACCAAAAAAAAACGAAAATTGTAATATTTTGGATTGTTTGAGGACAGTTTAAACATATTTTAAATCTTGCAACGAAATAATATACTTAGTAAATATTATTTAACCACAAATTAGTATGATTTTAAATAATTTTAAATGTAAAAACTGGATATTTTACAGTTTGCATAACATAATTTAAAAGATATAGCGTAGATCGATAGTATTAGTGTTTGGGCATAATATTTTTATCGATATCGCATTATCGACATGAGCACAGATTATGATAGTTGTAAGTCTTGGTCGGACGTTCCTCCACGTCGGCGGGGTGTGATAAATGACCCAATAATCCGAGTTCGCCTCCTGGCCTATGAAAGCTTCACGAAGCCGAATTGGTGAATGGTCAAAAGGTTTATTGACCGAACCAAGACGAAATTCTAGATACTGTTTTATGTAATTACAAAATTAATTGAAGTTTTGCATTATAAGCATTACAAAAACATATATTTTCGTGTCGTTGAAATTCAAATCCTTTTTATATAACATCGATACCCACTTTATATATGTGAACTTTTAGATGAAATTATTTTTATATGCAATTCCATTTATCTCCTAAAATGTAGTGGAATATTTTTGACTAAACTTAGAGAATATATACATATTAATGTTCATTATTAGAAAATAAACAAAACTAAGATTTGTGAAGACGTCTTTATAATAATACTTAACAGGAATAAAGCGATCATGTCTCCCTTGTAAGTAAAATATAAGATCAAGTTGTGTTATTCAGAGAGCATGACTTGATGAAATCTATTCCAACGACCATTGCTATTATGCCACGAACATTATGATATTATTATTACTAGTATATCAATCTTAAATTAAATGATATTAATAACAAATATATATGAAAATAAAATTGTAATTCGTTTCGGTTGATTTCAATACAAACAGTATAATCGTCAGATACGATATTACGGCTCCATAAATGTGCATCGCGTGGAAAATATCCGGTGAGAGAACGACCCCGTGTCCCGACATTCGTTCCGACGTTAATTCTAGCCACATTTGTTCCATTACATTTCCTACACAGAGTAGATACGCGTTTGCCGAATTGACTAGCTAGATGCGACCAGGCGAACCTGATCGAGAGGGACGGAGGTATAATGATCACCTGGGTGCGAGTGGGATGTAAGCTTAAAAGTGAGAAAGATGTATTCAGAAGTGAAATAGTCTGCTGGCTGAGCACATCATCATTAACGAGCCAGGGAGGGCGGAGGGCAGCGAAGAGGCAGAGGGGGCGACAGGTGGGCCCGATCTCACGGCACAATACACCTGCGGACGAAATTACTCCTTACGATATAC